AGCTCAATTTTTCTCAGAAAAGTTTCTTCATTAGGCTTTTAAGAGTAGAAGAAAAGCCCTGGCATTTATTCTTTCACAGGTTTAGTTTTTGTTATTTCTCTTAAATTCAAAATTCCGTAGATTAACCCAGTTTTTTTTAGTTTTTCCACTTTTAAATTCCTAAGTGACATGAATTGCAATTAGTATTTGGCAGGTTGAAGTCAATTCCATTATTTCTTTAAAACACGTTTTAATATTTACTACTTTACCTTTGCACTTTTATAGCAAAAAATTTAGTTTGCAAAGTTAGTTCGTTGTCAAAGATTTGTGAAAACTTTATGGAGAACTTTGCGCTGGAATTATTTAAAAGGCAGCTCTGCACTCAGGTTCTTAGCCGAAAATAGTGCAAAGTGAGAGTGAAAGCCGGTTGTAAGGGACTAATAAAAGTTGTCGTTGCTTTTGGCTACGAATGGGTACTTTTCCCCGGACTCGCCTGCTTTCCAGCTTCCGGCGGAGTTCAGCTCTGATGTGGCTGCTGTCTCAGCAGCAAACAAATGGAGCTCTAGGCTCCTTCTCCAGGGATGGAGAAAGAAACGGGATAGGATAGCATGGTATAGGACGGGATGGGATGGGGTTATCCTGATTGTTTAGGACAGAACCTCGGCGTACAGCAAACAACAGGCATCTGCATATAAACGGGACAGCTCGGGACCGGGGAAAAACTTTAACAAGCACTTAAGTATTAATCATGGAAATCAGAGGCAGCTGCGAGCCACAGCCGCCCACTTTGTGGGCGTGTGGTTAGTGTATGGTTGTGTGTGTGTGTGTGTGGGCCAAAAGTTTGCCGCGCTGGCTATCAATGTCACAGAAACGGAGCGCCTAATGAGGCATTAAACTTAACTGCTCAACTTTGCGCCTGTCAAGCGCTTATTAAATTTACCGTTTTATTGGTCCAACAACTTGGTGTTAAATATGGACCTACCGACCCCTCCCCCGCCCCTCTTGCCTTCAGTGGTCAGTGGGCGTGGCCGGATGGGCTTTAAGTGAAATCAGATTACGTTGTTTATCGCTCGGCGCCGACTTGGGCTTAGCTAACCAGGCGTGTGTCCTTCTGAGGACTTTCCTCCTCTCCCATCGGCCATCTGCCGCATTTAAATAGTTGCCAAGTTCAGCAAATTTTATTCGATGTAGTTAATTTTGTTTCCCGCCAAAGGAAATTGTATTACCCATTTATTTAGTCAAATTTCGTTGCGGCTGCTGATGCCTCGGGAGGCGTGGCGTGGATGTCTTCCAGGGAGATTCTGTTTCTTGCTCGCATTAATGGCTAGTTGGAAGTTCTGGCGTAATTGGATTGCAAACTTCTGCCGAAACGAGCAAATACAATAAATAGCAGGCAGGCCAGTGCAGAACCGGATTCGTTTCGGGTTGGAGGCTCTTATTTTGCGAGCTAGACTTAAAGGGGTCAGTCAGTCGGACTGAAGGAATTTCTGAGCACTTTCATCGAAGGTCTTAAAACTGAACGTTTTGTTTAGCATATTTAATGGGCTTTAGCTGATTATGGAATAAATTTACAGTTAGGGTAATGAAATATTAACAAAGGTGGGAAAGCTTAGAACCAAAAATAATTTGATATGCTAAATACAAAAGAATCAAACCCTTATAAAGTGTTCATTTTGATTCGTGATACCTTTCTTGTGCTCCAGATTGAAGGATTTGCGCAGTCCTTTGCCTCAAAACTTTGCCAACAACCCAATCGAATAGGTTTTCCAATCCCCATTCGATACAGTTCGAAATTAAATGAAATCGGTTTCCATGTTTACTTCGGGATCAAAAGACCATCTGAAGGACGCTCGACAGAGATATTTCCATTTGGCAATCGCAAATCAAGGCGCACTAAACTTGATATCCTACCCCGAAAATGATGCGCTCGAATCCGACACGTCGAAATTATTGAATTGATGTTCCCCGATAAGCCCAAACTCGATTACCACCTGTCAATCCCCGACCCATCAGTCCCGTCGCTTCCCCAAAAACCCCCAGAATCTACCCAATCATTCTCATATATGTACTTGTTTACACAGCTAACTGAGTTTCGGGGATTCCCCCGCCGCTCGACGCCGCTCCCAAGTATTATGAAATATTTATGCACACGCCATTGCGGATATTCACTCGAAAGTGGTGACTGCTGAATTCGGAGTGGAGTGGAGCGGAGTGGAGTGTGTGGCGAAAACTCTCGGATAGTGCAGTTCGCTGGAAAAGCGGAAAATCGTCGGCGAGAGGTATGTGTTTTCCGTGCGGCGGCCACAAAGAGAACGATATCCTTCGAGAGAAAGAGAGCTGCTCAGTTTTGCGGTCGATGTCAGCAGCAATGTCTGTGGCGGAAATGAAACGTGCTGCTGTCCTCATAGTGTGTATTTGTGTGGGTGAGGACTTAGATGTGTGAGTGGTCGTAGTGGGCGTATCGGTGTGTAGGTGTGTGGGTTCAATTCAGTGTTCGTGCGTTTGCAGGTTTGTGTGTGTGTGGGTCTGCTACGTGCCCGTGTTTGTGGCATTGAGTAATCATCAGCGTTGAAAATTGCGTTTTTTATGGGGCCAGTGGATTGGGGATGAATGGTGCGGTTCTGGGGGATGAACATGATGGGGTATTTCGAGGGGCTGAGGGGGTGGCAAGGTGTCGGGGCAGTGGGTAAAAGTGCTGGCGGTGCGATAGCTGTACTTAGCATATATGCAAATCTACACTCGCATAAAGATGGCAAACATTAACCTGGGGTTTTCTTGAGCTCAGCGTTTGGACATAAATATTCTTCAAACGGAATGAGTTAACCTTCTTGAAATCACATTGCTGGATTTGCTGAGGGTTCGTTAAATGTGGTAAAACACTTGCTTGGAGAGACACCAGAGCCTTTAGCTTTACTAATTTAAATCCGATTTTAAAGTGTGATACCTCTAAACGTTTATACTGAAATTCTTAAAGGAACTGCGTTTAATTTTAATTCATAACGGAAATGGTTCATACCGATTATTCGGAATTCGAAATTTCCTGTGTTTAACATAAAGGTGACCCAATACCAGTGGCGGATCCAGAGACGATTCTTGGGGGGAAATTGAACTTATTCTTCGATTTGAAGTTCAAATTTATTATTGCGAGAGAAATACAGTACAAATTATAAAACAAAAATTATCCATCCCAATTTTTTGGTAAACAAAGTGGCTATATTTGAAAAGTCAACCATAGCAAAAAAGTAAAATTTTCAGGTTCTGTGGTTCCAAGGGGGGGGAAATGTCCCTATTTTCCCCCCGTGGATCCGCCACTGCCCAATACTGCACTTTGACTTCCCATAACTTGATCATTTTTTAATCGATTTTAAAGTGGCATAGCTTCAAACGTCTGAAATAAAATTCCTAACTAACTGCATTTTAATTCGAAGGTCGAAGGTCGCCCATGGTATGTCAGATTTTTTCAAAATTCCAAAAGCTTGCAGCTTAACCCTAACCTCCGCTTTCAAGTCCATAACTTCGCCAACTTAAGATAATCGGTAAACGGTTCTTATATTGCTGTACCATTTTAAACTCGTTATTTTAATGCTTTCTTTTTCCTGAAAAAATAATCTAAAATTGAGATCCTGCAATCGGGGTTTTACTGCTCGGGAGCCTACTTAAAATGGGACTTCTTCGGCACCATGTGACCTCTATCTTGATATTGTTTTGATCAGTGTAAATTTGTATACCCTGCACATCGTCCTTCGGCTGTGCGTGCGTCCCCGCTGTGCGTCTGTGTGCGTGTGAGTGGCACAAGTGTCACGGCATGGCATCGCAGTAAAATCCTTTTTTATGGCCTAGCCCAATGCCTCGGCTCCCGGTCCCGCCCACTCCTTCTGCTGGCATTCCTCCGCCAGGATATTGAGGCCCCGCCTTCGGGAGGAGAGGGAGAAAAAGAGGCAAAGGGCAAGGGCAGGAAAAATTAATTTCGCAACATATTCAAAGTGTTATTAAACATAATTTATTAAAACCGAAATTGTATAAAGTTAGCCGAAGCAGTATTCGGTATTCGGTATTTGGTATTCGGGGGAGTTGCCATAAATTGTTGAGATTTTTGTCGTGGCTGGGTTATCCCCGGTTATCCATGGGGTCACGGGGTCATGTGCGTGCCCTCGTTTGTGGCTGTCGCCGCTTTTAACGGCTTTTCGGAAATGGGCGTTTCATCTCGATGCCATGTGTTTTTTATCCAGCTCGTTTGTGTGTGTGTGTTGTTGGTTTTTTTCCCCCAAACTGCGGCCGAGCAACAAATGTCGCACAGTTAATGTTGTAAACAAGTTGTGCGGTGCGGTCGGGAGTCCCTCGTTTGGGCGTTATGATGTATGTGGCAGGCGTGGCAAATCGGAAATTTAATTTCCCAGCCAAACGAGCCAGGCCGCATTGCCGGCCGGAGCTCATAACGGCCAGCTTAATTGCCGGCCATAATTTAGGCTAACCCTAAAGAGCGGCCTGTGCGAGGATCCCAATGTCTAGCATGTGTTTAAATCAAAATTATTTCCCTTTCAACCCATTTGCTTCCGGGTCCGAAAGGGATGGACAGCTCCCAATGCTCCCAATGCAATTTTCGTTCAGAAATTGTTGGAATTTTTGAAGCTTCTTTTAATTTATGATCGAATAAATTATGTTGAGGAATTGGGTAGCCATAAAAAACGATAAGAAAAGTCTTTTGTTCGAGGGGGAGTTTTAAATATTGGCTATCCAATAATCTTGCTATCACTTCAAAGAGTTCCTAGACATTTTTGTAAAAGGGGTTGGGTAAAATACCAAATTTATTGATCAACAGGGAAGCATTGAAGAAGAAACATCGCCATTTTATATTAAGAGGAGTATGCCAGCTTAAAGCTGAGAAAATATAAGGAACTTAGCAGCTTAGTCGCAACTTTAAGCCCGCCATTAGCAGAGGTCCCAAAAGAGCGAGTTAATGGCGCAGAAATAACGAGTCGGAAACTCGCCACTAACCTCGTTACCCGCTTTCGCTCTTGCAGGCTCTGCTCCATAGCCACGATGTGGTGGCCCGGGACGTCTACGGGGAGGAGGCGCTGCGCGTCACCCCGCCCCCGATGGTGCCCTACCTCAACGGGGACGAGCTGGACAACGTCGAGGGCGGCGAGCTGCAGCATGTGACCCGGGTGCGGCTGGTGCAGTTCCAGAAGAACACGGACGAGCCCATGGTAAGCTGGTTGCAGGATGCTAGATCCCCAAGGGGGAGAAAACCATCATTGACCCACTGTAATCCCTTGCAGGGCATCACGCTGAAGATGACCGAGGACGGGCGGTGCATCGTGGCCAGGATTATGCACGGCGGGATGATTCACCGCCAGGCCACGCTGCACGTGGGCGACGAGATACGGGAGATCAACGGCCAGCCGGTGCAGCACCAGTCGGTTGGCCAATTGCAACGAATGCTGGTGAGCTGCCCCCCCATCAATCTTTCCCTTCCCCCTCCCCACTGCTCCTTGAATCCCCTCCACCTGGCTTTGTCCACCTGCTAATTGAATGTGTCCGCTGTTTATCCTTCCTTTGCAGCGCGAGGCACGCGGTTCTGTTACCTTCAAGATAGTTCCTTCGTACCGCAGCGCTCCGCCCCCCTGCGAGGTAAGTTTCCTAATTCACGATGCAAGTGTATATGTATATCTACACTCGAAGTGTATATATCTGGTGTGCTTAATGACTAACCACCGTACTTATCATACAACAAACAAACTACAAACTAAACACGGTAATCCCTCTCATTTTGCAAGAGTTATGAGTTTATTCTCGCTATTTGTATTGGTGTCTAACTAAAACCATAATCCATTAACCAAGTTGGGCGAAGGTGACTTAAATTTATTGACTTAACTAATAAATCTACGGAAAATAAGGATTATAAGAAATGTAAAATATAGAGGTATTTTTTATCTTCAGGAAATCTATTTACTTAATCGCCTACGAAAGTCACATAATTAAATAATTAGTCTGTGCTTCCGAGTGCCTGCCCATAATCCCTTTTAATTCTTTTTAAATTGCGTCTTCGAGTGCAGCCCAAATTGCCGGGCATTAAGTTATTAGGCTCGATGAAGTGGAACGCTTATGTTGTTTGTCAATTTGGCGAAATCAAAATATCAATACGGATTAATTAGTGGGTCGTGATAGGCGCCCCACCGACCCACCGCCACTCATCGAAAACTCAACAACAATGGGGCCTCGCAAGCCAAACGCAGGCAGTCGAGTGCATTATGCACATTATAAAGTAACGAGGCGTAATGGCAAAAATGGGTTTGTGTTCGCAGCCATGTAATATTTACGGGCGTGTATTACTATAGGGGAATGTCGTCAGGGTTGGACACATTTTCGACCCTTGCCTATAATTATCGTTTTAATAAGATTTAAGATCATTTGCGTAAATAGTTTGAAAGGTAAAGGCAAAAGGTATGTCTGACAATGAGCATTATGTTGTGGAATGAAAAACATAGAAATGGCGAGTATTTAAAAAAAAAAAAAAATGTAGTCAGGCTTGGACACTGTAGTCAGGGTTGGACACTTGAATTGCTACTTCAGAAAAATAGCAATAAAAGAGGACATTATCCATGGATCAGGTGTATTTTATGTCTTTTGACTCTTTTTTATTGTGATCAACAAATTTTACAAACAATTAGGACAAACAAAATAACTTTTTCAGGGTCTTCTCGAGATCGTCGTCAGTAACAGTAGAAATGTCCTCATATTCTTCATCTACAATACTTTTTTTAATATATCACCGCAAAGTCGTTCTAGGCAGGTCATAAGCCCTTGCTACTGTCTTTAACTTTCCTTTCTCCAACTTAACTGCTTTAATGGCCAGGACAGCATTATGCAAGTCGACTTTACCTCTTTCCGTCGTTCGCTTGTAGCGTGAACCTCCTCAAAGGGAGAAAATAAATTATTACTCAAAGAATTTATTTTTTTTTACTTATTTATTAATTATTTCACTTTTTGTTGAATTAAGTAATTAATTACCACTGTAATAACTGTAAAAAACATTGGAAAAATTAAAATATTCTGACAAAAGGGAAAAAACCAAGGGTGTCCAACCTTGACAACAAAAAGTGTCCAACCCTGACAACATGAGTCATAACCCTACCGCACAACATAACTACCAAATCGCTTTATTTAGAACAAATTTTTTTTAGGATTTCGTTAAGGGGGAACCACTTAACGTATTTTTAAACTTACCCTGCGGATGGCATATTTTCCGCTGAATTATGCCACTTTTTTAGCGCGTTCTCGAATACTTTTTTCTTCACTATCACGACACTATGTCAACAAAACAGGAAAATTAACAGTTATGGGATGCGGCTAGGGATGAAAAGTTTCCCACAGTGATAACAATTAATACCACATTCGCACACAGATGGCGATAGTTGGTTTATTAGAAAAATTGCAAGTGTCCGACCCTGACAACTGTCCAACCTTGACGACATTCCCCTATACATATAATATGTATGTACGGGGTGGAAACAGTGCTCCTGCTGCGCCTTTGTAGTTGTAGTTATAATCCATTATGCAATTGTTTCGCAGTACATTAACATAACTCCACACTCTCTCTCAATCTCTCAATCCCTCCTTCCGCCCTCTTCCCCCTTCCCCCTCTGCCTTCTTCCTCCCTCATGCCACATGCAGCTTTTCAGGATCAGACCCGCTCCGGTGCTTGTAAGTATCACGCTCCCCACAATAGACACGAAATCACGCACGCACCACCCACAAACCACCTAAGCCACCCAGCCACCCACAACGGGATTACTTTTGCTCGAAGCCAACCACCCAACCACCAACCACCCATCCACCCAAGCATTCCGGTAGATGTGCATATTCATTAACCGACAGACAAGTCAAAAGGCACAGCTCACACAAGACCCCAAATTTGTCTAATTTATGTTCATCACTCAGTCAACAACAACGATACGGCAAGCAGGTCTTTGGTTTCCCATTCGGAAATATTTTAATTACGGACCACGGCTCGCAACCCCTAGTTACTTCCATTAATTTGCTAAAATGTTGCTTGCGGAATATCAAAGTAAATACTACAATTTGTTTTGAACCAGTAGCTAAACGGTGAAAATTCAATTATAAACTATATATATAGGTATAAACAAATTGTGTTTGTAACTTTTTGTGGTTCAAGTGGTTTGCATGTATATTGTGTACAAAGCAATTTAAAAATAAACTCTTTACCCAAATAAAAATGTCAACAGCGTAGTACCTTTTATGCTGGATTTCAATTTAGCTTCCTCTTCGAACTAAGCTTTAAAATAACTCGATTTTTCTGCCAATAAAAACTCTGAACGAGTGTGTAGTTTCCATTAAAATGTATCGCTTGTTAGGGCATCTAGCATTCCAAACCGCCTGCTTGCCAAAGTTGTTTGCCTCTTTGTTGCCACTGATTTTGTTGCTGGGCTGCTGCTGTTGCTGCTTTTGACATGCAAATGAGTTTTGCGTGTTATTCGCAAACCGAAACCCATTTCGCTGAGGCAGCCGCAACTCAGTTGCAGCCTGGGCAAAAGTAGCTGAGATGGCAGAAAGTGGAAAACAGAAGCGGAAAACGGAATGGGAAAAGGAAAAGCGAATCATCGCATCGACCTGCGCTACTGTTCAACTATTTGCAAATTGTAACTCGGCTCGAGCTCATCTGGCTTACTCCTCTGTCTTCTCTGCTCTGTCTCCCTTCCGCCCGCAGATATTCGTGCGCGCCCAATTCGATTATAATCCGCTGGATGATGAGCTTATACCCTGCGCCCAGGCGGGCATATCGTTCCAAGTGGGCGACATACTGCAGGTAGGCTTACCCGGGGAATCCCTTGATTGAATCCGATAAAATGTATTTATGTGCTTGCAGATCATTAGCAAGGACGACCATCACTGGTGGCAGGCGCGACTGGACACGGTGGGCGGATCGGCGGGACTGATACCGTCGCCGGAGCTGCAGGAGTGGCGGATCGCCTGCCAGACGGTCGACAAGACCAAGCAGGAACAGGGTGAGTGGGTCACGGAGGTCCTGGCCGGCGGCAGGAGTCTCGAGACTATCGAAAACTATCCGTGTTCTCTATGTGTAATTGGATGCTCGATATAATCAACCAATCGTAACATATGCTATATGAATAATTGTACTTATATTGGAAGTGTATGACGAACTCGTAGTTAATCGAACGGCAAGCGCGCTCTCTCTATGTCTCTCTCAAACAACCACACACATCTAAAAACCACCCACCCACCAACCCACCAGCACACCAACACACACAATACACATCTGTACACTAACACCGACCGAGAGTTGCATGCCCCAGAAAGTAGTCGAAGAAAGCCCTTTCAAATTAACCAACCAAAACGGAAAAAACCGCTGCCAAAATTCAAGTTAACAAGTTAAAGAACCAAGAACCAACACCTACATTTACACACCTGTACAAAACTCTTAACCTAGTTGCTAACCATGAATCTCGCATCTCGAACCAAGCCAAAGAATTGCTATAAACCGTGTATGTATGATAATATAATGCAGGAGAACCGGGTGCTGGATGTTCCGCTCACGCAGATGGGTGTGATGGATCCGCAGGTAGTTACCATATAACCAAAGCCACCACCCACCACCCACTACACACCAGACACCACACCACCACAAATGAAAACAAATACCAAAACTAAACGAATCTCCACAGGAGAGCTGCTAAGACTCGTCTTTTAACGTTTCTTCTTGCGTTCTGTTATGCCACAAACAAACAACACAAACCACACGACAACAGAATTTCTATCGATAGCAATTTTTGTATAAAGAGTTCACCCCCTGCCACTTCCCTTAAACCCAGTCACCCACCAAACACCCAGCCACCCAAAAACCACCCAACCAAAAGTTGTAGCTTCTGTAGACAGCACCACCGAACCACCTAGCCCCAGGAATCGAGTAGAACCGCCCCCATGATCACGACCGCCATCAGAAACAGTAGCTGCACCCAGCCACCGTTGTTTGCGAACCCCAAAACCCAAAACCCGCTTAAACCCCAAACCCCTCCGACGAACTATTCTAGTTAGCTGAAAATATACTCGTACACCATACACGTTCACTCCACTGCACGTTAGGCTGGCTGAAAGAACACCGCATAACCAATCCGGATAAATTGTAGGAGGTCGGGCGAGGAGGGAACGAACCAATCAAGAATCCATCAAGAGCATTTATGTATCAGTCATCCCGAGGATATCATGAATTCATCCAATTTGCTAGGCGAAATCGTGCTTGCTTCATGCTCAAACTTATCCAATGCCTGCTCTACAGCATGTTTGTGCCTGGTCTATAAGCATGCGGCTCTTAACCTAATCAGCTCCTTCGGCCCCCCTAAAATACAACTCAATAACGATTGCTCTCCGTTGTTACCAACAGTTAACTGCTCCATCTTCGGGCGCAAGAAGAAGCAATGCCGGGACAAATATCTGGCCAAGCACAACGCCATCTTCGACACGCTCGATGTGGTCACGTACGAGGAGGTTGTCAAGGTGCCAGGTGGGTTTGATTGAGCTCCCCGCCACAGGTGGACCTTTGTTTATCATCGCCGTGTGACTTGTGTCCTTTCAGTGGGGGATCCGAACTTTCAGCGCAAAACCCTGGTGCTCTTGGGTGCTCACGGGGTGGGCAGGCGGCACATCAAGAACACCTTGATCTCGAAGTACCCCGACAAGTACGCCTATCCCATTCCACGTAAGTTTCAGAGTTGATAAACCTGTTACCTCACAAATACGATATTAGATTAAGACATTTTCATGGCAATGCAGTCTTTTGATTTATCTACGAGTACCTACTTTGCGTCGCTCAATTGGCGGAGGTTAATGATGCAGAAACTCTCCATAAAAATTGAATCATCATAAATTTTAAGCTGTGAAAAAAGTATCTCTTCTCTACCAAAAAACGTTTTATTTAATCCACTATATTTATTATTTGCCTATAGCTCATATAATTTATGACCTTAAATTGAGAGTTTAATGGTGGCTTTTTAAAATGTTGAACACCTGCTCTTAATTACATCTTATTTATCAAAGAGTTATTGGGTCGGTAATAATAACAATTGATGAGGCTTAAAGCCCTAATTAAAAAAATTACTAGACATTTTGAGCTGCTGTTTAAAGCTACTACCTTTTTCGTAACTAATTGCCCACCTAGCTGGTTATTTACCCTAAGGATTAGTATAAATACCCCTCGCTTTGCAGATACAACGAGACCTGCCAAGCCGGAGGAGGAGAATGGACGCAGCTATTACTTTGTCTCGCACGACGAAATGATGGCGGACATCGGTGCGAATGAGTACTTGGAGTACGGTGAGTCAGCTGGCCAACCATCTCCCCAAGCCATTGTTATTTCTAACAACAATTTCAGGCACCCACGAGGACGCCATGTACGGCACCAAGTTGGACACCATTCGGCGCATCCACACCGAGGGCAAGATGGCCATTTTGGACGTGGAGCCGCAGGCACTGAAGATACTCCGCACCGCCGAGTTCACGCCCTACGTGGTGTTCATCGCGGCGCCTTCGCTGCAGAACATAGCAGATGTGAGAAAGGAAACTATTACCCAAAGCAGAATCCTTTTAATTTGTTTCTGAATCCCCCAACAGTACGATGGCAGCCTGGAGCGGTTGGCCAAGGAGTCGGAGATGCTGCGCCAGCTGTACGGGCACTTCTTCGACCTGACGATTGTGAACAACGACATCAGCGAGACGATCGCCACGCTGGAGACGGCCATCGACCGGGTGCACACCACCCCGCAGTGGGTGCCCGTCTCCTGGCTGTACTGACAAGACAGCGAGCTGGAATGCCCCGACTGCCTCGAGGGCTGCGACTGCGAGTGGGACGCCTACACGCAGGCCTCCAACGTGGCGCTCTACTGAGGAGGCCGCAGTCGAGGCCGAGGCGCGAAGGATACTGAGGATACAAGGACACACACGCCACATCACCACGACACACCACTAAAGTATTACCAAGGCACAAGCAACAGCAACCGCAACTGAGGAAGCGACCACTACAGTGAGGACTCGAGCATAGAAGGCGCCTGGCGCCGAGCTATTTAATTTAAGATTAGATGGGTATTGAGGGAACTGCGCTCGCAGCGCAGCGACAAAAGTGTTAATTGTCAAACAACCAATTTGTATTTGCCTCTTTTTGTTTTCGGTTTTAAGCTGTACTGTTTGTTCGTTTGTATTCTATTCGCCATTCCATGCCCATTGTGTTATACTTTACGATTATTGTTTTGTTGTATTGTTTTTATTCGCATTTAGTCAGAACAGCATTAAACGCTTATGTAAATCTTGCACTTGTTAGTGTCTAAGTTAACTGGAGGTAGACAAATCGAACCCCGAACAGGAACCGAAGCACTCCAACTTGTTTTACTCAAGATTATTTCCGGTAAGAGTCTTGTGAGCAGATAGGGCGTTGAACGAGTTAGTAAATTATAGAGAAAACTACGTAATTAAATATAATTAACATAGACACAAGGAGACACAGTGACAGCAACAAGCGACAGGAGAACACGAAGAACAGAAAGTAATAAACAAAGTACGATGTGAGCAATTTCAAGTGTTTCAAGCCAAGTAAGAACTAATTAATTACATACGGAAGATCAAGTCAGGACAGTGGTAAAGTGCACGTTTTAAATGCAATAAACATAACGAAAAGGTAACTGAAAACAAAAAAGATTAATTCCAATCACAACACTACACGAAGGAAGGGGAAAAAAAAACACATAATACCAAAAACCAAATTGTTGACGTTTAATTGAATTCAATGAGAAATGGGAAAACCACAAAAAATGCAATCAAACATAATAAAACAAAAAGTACATTATAATAATTGCAGCCGCGTTTAATTCAAGCAAAAGCAAAGTAAACAAATGGAAAAACATAGAGTGAGCACTAAACACACATACTAACTGCAATTACGAATTAAAATAATTAGCGAAAGGATGAGCAGATTGCAGGTCAACGCAAAACAGGCAGATACACGTATAAATATATGACAAAAAAACACCCAAAAAAAAAAAAAAATGAAAACAAAAAACAAGAAGTAGGAAAACGACAAATATGTATACACACACATATATATATTTTTCGAACAACTCAAACTCAGGTTGGATACATTGAAAATCAGTCAAGTTCAATAAGAATAATATAGCGGAGCGCTTCCTTTTAACCCACAGCCAAATGAAAACCCAACAAGGAGACCCAAACCGAAAACCGAAAACCGAAACGAAGATCAGACAGACAGTGATTAGCACAACCGAATCGAACGAGATCTTAAGTCGCTTTGAATTGAATTGAATTGAATTAATCGTACACCCACTGGCCCAGTAACCACCCAAGCAGCAGCTTCAATTTTTCGAGATACTTTACAATGACACCGACGAACTGTCTTAGCAATCGAGAAACCTGGCATTTTTTTGTGCAGCTTCATAGTCAGCAACCAGCGCTCAGTAATTTCGCTTCTTCCCCCACTGTAGCTTTCTAATATCCGAGAGGTACACACACTTTGTATTAGCTTCCCTCACATAGAGCTTTTGAGATGGACGAAACTGAATTTAGACTACAACTGCGATCCCAGAGATGCAGCTAATTTGGGATGCGAAGTCGAACGAACACACACCACACTTGAGATCGAACTTAGTATTAAAGCGAAAAGCGAACACATTTGTAAACACGTGCCGCACTTCTCTAGCTGTCCCCCAAACAATTTAAGCCTGAGCTTGATTCGAGCCCAACCACACGACCCACTTGAATTTCCCAACCGCACACCACACAAGAATAACATACTTATATCCAGACAATTCTATGGTTTCAAAATGGTTGAACAATTTTGCATAGAGTATTATCGTTAGACGCTGGGCTATACCTTTTCGGTTCTGAGCGTGGAAGGAGATAGCGGAGAGGCAATGCAAATCATAGAAGTATCCCCAGAGAACAACCGAACCTACCCGAAAAACTGAAGAACTAACTACCTACCCACAACCACAAACGCAGCCAAGTGGCCAAATTAACTAAGTATTATACCTTAAAGCGAACGAACGAACGAACTGACGATGAGATGGGATGGGATCAGATGAGGATGAGAATGAGGATAGGAACCTTATAGAGAACACGGCAGGAGAAGATGTATGTACATTTTGAGGCTCCCCAATTGAAGAGTGGGTGTGCCGGAAAACACCAAAATTGAAGAATCGATTAGGAAGAATGCTCAAATCAAAATCTTATATTTTACGGTATAACACTGATTAGGAACGATGTTTGAAGAGGGCGGAGTGTAGAAGAATCGGAAGAGAGTATCCCGAGATTGAGCTAGGATTTCGAAGGATTCGTTTCGTAATTTTAATTGATCCTTTTTTCTTAGCCGATGCGAGCAGATTGTAGCTGTACTCTAAGAATAATTTCACACTAAGATTAAGTAAAAATTTATTGTTGATATTACATAAAAAGAAACGAGATGAACATGGTCACGCAAACCAGATGAATTAGAATTTTTCTCTAATTTCATAAGTCAATGATGATATAATGGCGAGGGTAATGAAGATAATGATGGAAGAGTGAAGACGAGTTGAAAATGCTTATGATCTCCAATGTCAATATGTGTAGATTGACGCGATTTGAGCTAAATGAGTGAATTGTTATTAAAATAATAAATGAAATGAATGGATCGTCAGATTGATCGATCGATTGGGGCGCAGAAGGCCGCGGCGTTAGTAAATATCATTTAAAATAAATGATAAAAATGTCATTATATATACATAGTTTAAACATGGGATTAAAAATAATAAATTAAATGAAACAGAACCGACGAAGGTAAAACGGGAATGAGAATTAAATAAAAACGAGTAAACACTGAAATACCGAATTTTAAATACATAAGTTTTGAATCATGCATGCAGCAAAGACAAAGCAAAAACCCACACAGAAACCGAAACAGAAACAGAACTAATAAAAAGAACTTCTATATATGAAAAGAGAGATACAATTTCAACCAGCTTTTGCAATGATTTTCGGAAGCCCCCAAAAAAAAAAACAGAAACCCCCAGTTCCGCAGCAAAAACAGACTCAAAATCAGAACCTTTCGACTTCTTAGAAGCCAACAGCGAAATTCGCAGAAATGCTCAATGGCCAGTGGAAGTCAAGGCAGTGGGGCAAAGCGGATGCCCTGCAGCCATGGCTTGTATCTTTTTGAGCTGCAGATACATTGTATCTCGAGCTTCTAATTGAAACATTACACTCAAACGTCAAACGCTGTCGCCCAACACCCGAAGCTTGACCCAAATTTGTTTCAAGGTAATGCGAATTTGATACTTTCGTTTTTGTTTTTTCGGCTTACTTTGGGTCTTATTAATTTGTGTTTCTTTTTGTGCCCAGACAGTGGCAAAGTTTTTGATTACCGGCCACTCGGTTCTATGCTTGTCTTGCGCAAGCTGCAATAATTTCAATCTGCCTCGGTTAGGGAGCCCTCCTCCTCGCCCGAGAGAACCAAACTGGAAGTCGGCGACGTGCTCGGAAATATTAATAAGCGGAAAAGCTGTCCCCCAGCGGCAGATGTCAACAATAGATATTTGTGCCAGGCCATTAGCATTAGCCGCAGTCATTACCGTTGGAGGAGTAGAACTTCTGCTGGCCGGCAGTCAATGAACTGCAACTGTTGCTGCTCCGCTGCAACATTTCACTGGGCGACCGCAGCAACATGTTGCTGTCGTGGCGCAACACATATTGCTATTGCTGTTGCTGATGTTGTTACTGTTGCTGCTGCTGCTGCCGCTGTTGTTGCTGCTGATCGGCTTGTTCTCTCCGGCGATCGAGTTTTGGTAGCCAGTTTCAGTTTGGTTTCGAGACTGCGCGCTGGAAGTTGTGCTGCTCGCGTTTGGAGTGTAAGTGCCATTCCGGCTTCCAATTGCAATTGAAGGCACGTCGCTCGGTCTTCGGTGCTCAGGGTACTTGACTGCCAGGCTGTGTTTGTGTGTGCTGTTGCTTGTTGAAATCCGCGCGAGCGTAATCCGATCCCGATCCCGACTCCGACTGCGACTCCGATGCCGATACCCGCGATCTATTCATAGCTCCGCTTATCACTTGAGGGCGCCAGGCGTGTCGTCTGCGACCTCTGACCCACAAAGCCGTAGATCTCGGCGGCCGGGCTGAGTTAACGATGCTGCTAGAGGCAGCCTGCCTTGTGCAATGGCCCCCGCTATCAGAGCGATAAGGCTAACCAGTGGCGAGCCGCTCTAGAGCCGCGGATCAGTCGCGAGCCACATCTCCTGCCCCTCGAGTATCGCACGGCTTGAGCTTCTGCCCAAAAGCCGCTTCTGGCCGATGGTTACGTCAATTCCAATTCCAATCCGCGTTCGCGTTCTCGTGCAGGTAAATAATACAGCACAACGCCATCACAACAAAAATAGCAGCAGCACCTCGCGCAGTCAGACAACTTTTGTTTAGCACCGCTCAAGGAAACAACGCACACGGACCAAGCATAAAATTAAGCGCGCTTTAAACTGCAGACCTTTTGCCCCAAGTCTTTGCCCTTCGTCCGGCTTCGCTTCTTGCCTACGGACGGACCCCAACCACAAAAGAGCGCATGGAGTGCGCATAAAGAATCTCCAATTGACTGGGCCTCGGACTACCAGAGTGTTGAGCACTGAGAGAAAAGGTGGACAGTTTTTAGTGGTTTTGCAAACAATTTACGGTGAATCGAAAGATATCAATGCAAATCTTTGATATCAGAATCAGAAAAAAAGAGTGGTGACCAGACAGCGGTGTATATAGTTTTCTGTGATGAATTAACATATAAAAACAAACTCAAAGCTATTATTCTTCGCAGTGCAAAGGGAGTCACAGCTGAACGAGTTGATTTTTAGTTGCCTTTGCTTTGGAGTCCGAGTGCGCGCATTGAATTTTTGATTTAATTCGTCTTCTTCATCTCGAACTCCGGTTCGCGGCTTTTTTCGGGTCTTTTGCACAAGGTTACGCGTCCGCTATTGTAAATACCCCCACCTCAAAACCTAACTATCATTTAGTCATATAACACATGCCTTTCAAGCGGGACGCGGACTTTAAAGCTCAAGTTTGGCAATTGTGCGGCTCTTTTGGGGTCTTGCGATGATGGAGAACTAAGCTGATTGTGGTATTATGTGTTTGCTAGAAGTTGACAACCTTCGAAATCGGATTCTACCGACAGAACATCAGGCGAAATGTTTGCAGCTATCTGGCGATTGCGATCTTTGGGGTCGCCATAGAGGCCAACTTTGCTGAGATAATCGTACTACTGATTAGCAAATATAATTGTGTTTATACAGTGAAGTATTTCCTGGAATCGCCCGTACTAAATCGGGAGTATTGGTATATGTGTTTAACATGATGCAGACAGACAGATGGCTCTTTCCTTTGTTCCATTCAGGGCTAGTTTCATTACGGACAATTTTCATTCAGTCATTCTTCCTGCTGTTTTTTGTTGTGTATCTTTTTTTCACTGCTACTGCTGCTGCTGCCGCTGGACAAGTTTAGCGACGCCTAGATTTTATGGTTCACGTAAATTGTTAACAATTTGAGTGTCATCATGGCTGTTTGTCTGGCGTTTCGCTCGACTGCTTCGGGGCGACAGGTGTGACTCACGAACGTGGCTAGCACCCGGCTAACCTCTGTGTTTTGGCCACCCAAACACGTCTCTATTGCTGATAACGGCTCGAATTAAAAGTTGCCCCGCCATTATGTTAGAATGTGTGTGCTGGCCTGGGCCAATTTATCGGGCCGTACTTGTTGGCGGCTTCCTCGCCGGCCATAATATCTTGTCAGAAACTGAGGAATTGGCGAACGGCATAACCGGTCTGAGCTAGTGGGCCAACAAGAAAACGGTTACGAGGCATGCAAAATGCTTTTAGGAAATAATTTGCAAGTCAAAGCGACGGCAAAACCAATTTTGATGGCTCTACTTTGTGGCCCGCCAGCCTGGGGCTAATTGCAGCCACTTGAGGTGATCGGAGCAGAGCTGCGGCTCATCGCCAGCTGTTGGCCTCTACGGCATCCACTGCGATCAGCCAGACTCAACTCAGCGGTTCAAGTTCAGCACCACGAAGGTTCATGGCCAATTAGAGCGCGCTTGAATTATCGCCCGTTTATAGAGTGGAAAAGCAAACACGACGGCCCTGCAATTATAGCCATATAGTTAACCCCCCTGTATGGAAACTACTGCCCTGGACCTATAATATAAACAAACAATTAAAGCAGAATGGTCGGAAATTTTCCGGCTTAAATCATAATAAAACGGAAGGCCTACCAAGGCAGTAAAAAGATTTGGAGGCAGAACTTTTGTAACTCGTTTGTCATTGGTTTACTTGGCCATTCATTTAAATACATTTTATTCGGTTCGAATGAATCTCTGTTTTTTAAGTATCTTTATTAATTCCACTTCAGTTCTTACCTTGCATGCTGAGCGATGAGGTCGTGGCCTGGCCTTTTCTGGCTTCTGACCCTGGCGCTCCTGGCGGATGGTCGTCGCGAGTCCCAGCTGCGGATCGGCAAGGCCATGAATATATTAATGCGCTACGGATACCTGGGCATTTCCATGCGGGTCGTACCGCTGAATGACATGATTGAGCCGGAGCGATGGATCTTCAAAGAGCCCACCAAAAACATTTACACGGTGAGTTACACCAACACCAGCTTTGTCATTTCTAAAATTAGTAGTTAAATGGGGTGAACGTAATCTAAATAGTTTCTAATTATAGTTCTGCCAACCTTTGACCGCAGTAATCTCAGACAATAATCAAAGATATTGTTGGTCGTAAAAATTTCGTTATCATCAGCAAAAACTATTTTTAATTGTAGGCATTTTCATACTTCCGACATGTTTGGTGTCGGACTGAGGCCACTTCATATATTTTAAATTTTCATAAAAACTAGATTGTGAGGAAAAAAATATTAGTGTAAAACGCCATTGCCACCTGGTTTAATTGGAGGCACAACACTTAGAAACTCATTAATTGGTGAACTAGTTTTATAATGATTTTTTAATAATTTTGTCAGCATAACATTAGTAATAAATTACCATATATTTTTCCAGGATCTTAGTGGTCTGGCGGAGAGTCACGAGGACACCACACCTGGCATCTTCCACGGGGACTTCCACATGGAGTTCTGCGAGAACCGGCGGCAGTTGTTTCAGGCGTATTTCCGTGACTTCACCATCGAGCGAATGGACAAACCCTGGGAGGCGTTCACGGCCGGCTGGTTTCCGGACAGTGCGGCCAAGAAGATGGGCATCAACACGTCCTTCATCCTGGGCGACTACTCGTATGTCCTTGTGAGGGTGGTGCGATTCAGAGAAACGGGACGTCTGAAGACCGAGATTCCCGTGAACCAGCCATTGGAGCCGGATGTGCGATCCCGGATGGATCATGTGCAGGTTGGGAACATAACTTCGGCAGTGCGGTTTATGGAGAACGTGGGCACCCACTACGTGAACTCCTACACCACCGGCAACTCGCTGTACCAGGTGTTTGTGTACAGCCGCAAGAACTACAGCATGATCAAGGAGCGGATCAAGAGCAAGGGCTTGAACGGGCTATCAAAGCTGGATCTCTACAACTACTTTGCGCCCTGGTTTGCCACGCATCTCGGCCAGATCCGGTCGGCCAGTGCGAATTCCACCGTGGAGCGGTGGGCCAGGAGGAAGCTGCAGTACGAGTACTACGTGGTCAAGTACGTGACCCTGCTGAAGCTGCACGGGAACAGCACTCTGCTGAGGTCACTGGACACGCTGCTGGGCAACGACGCCATCCTGCAGCTGGACCTCAAGACGGTGAATCCCATCTTCCGGGAGCATTACCCGGAGAAGGAGAGCTGGTTCGAGGAGGTGCTCGACAACAACATTAAGCTGTGGGAGCTCAACATGCCGCAGAGTCATCCCAGACCATAGTCGCACGGATATATTTACCATAGTTTGTTAGTTAACCTTCGAAGAAGATATCTTTAAAGTGGAATCCGATTCGAGCATTTCGTGTGCGATATCCGGCAGCCAAGGATCAATAGTTCCTAGATGTAGTTAGGACCTCTAGCGCGTAGTTAATGTTCTGCCTGTGATAGTTTAAGTAGTTTAATTGAACAAGAGTACACATCTGACTTGCATTTCAGCTGACTAGCCCCTAAGATCGCCTTATTGCTGTACTAGTTTTTATACTACAATAATAATAATGACAAAATCGAAAGAGCTGTTTAACTTGTTGAATACCGGACTTGCTGGGGTTTCAAATCAAACCCGTAATTCTACTTTTTCCAAACAATTAATTCAAATCTTGATTTGAATAAAATACCACATACGAAACGGGTAAAATACTGACTGGTTTCACCCGTTTCAACAAAGTTCTCAACCGGTACCATCCAAGTTTTCCACCATTCTGAGATTAGTTTGGTATCGTCAATGTTCTTTGGTACTTCCTAACGCTTGAGCTACGGTCACACCAAAACAATTTAACTAGCACGTGCGGTTATTTTTATTTTGATTTGCCGGAATATTTTTGTTATCATGGATATGTTTACCAATACTCCGGGCTTCTGCCCCTCCTGTGGCTCCATTCTTCCCGAGCTTCAGGTCAAAGGCAATGTAATTTGCTATAACTGCAAGCAGGAGTTTGAACCAGATGGTAAGACATACGTTTATAAACATTCCAAAAGATCTTTCTCAATATTCGAATTTCATAGTTTACAGTGGCGAGAAGTCTGAGTTTACCATTCACTTCAACACCTACGATCCCAGCAAAGTGTTCAACAGAACTAAACGCGAATCCGAGTCCTCGGAGGCGGATGGTCCTGTGGTGGAGAGGAAGTGTCCCAAGTGCAACCACGACAAGATGTCCTATGCCACTCTGCAACTTCGATCGGCGGACGAGGGACAAACAGTCTTCTTCACCTGCCTCAAGTGCAAGTATGTATCTTAAACATTGTCTTAGTTTTAAAATTAATAATTTATTTACTCCTTGCAGATTCAAAGAATCGGAGAACTCTTAGATGCTAACAATACCTGTGTAAATAGTCTTATAGTTAATGAAAGTAATCATGTTCGACGGCCTGCAAATATAGTTTTTACTATTGTTAATAGTGTAACAGTTTTAATCTTGAACTCACCTCCTTGGCTTTGAGTCGGTTTTTGGGATTGTAAACAACTAGATTTGAGACCAGATTGATTTCCACCGCGTGGGTGCAGCTGGGAAATAAGTTGTCCCAGTGGATGCCCACTGAGTTGGGAAATCTAAGAAAGTACATGAAAATATTGAATGCATTGATGGTAATATAAGTAAGTTCCTCACCTTATCTTGCTGTAGTCCGGCAGAGAAGTCAATTCAGGCCACTGATTAAGTCGAGGACTTCCAAGAGTTCGTATAATAATGGCCAACTGCTCTATGTCAGTGGTTCCTGCAAACAAAGGTACTCCACGAAGCATTTCCGCCACAACACAACCTAAGTTGGATAATAAAGTAATTAATGAAGTTTATATCAACTTTAAATCGTACTCACCTGCTGCCCACATGTCAACCCCAGTTCCGTACTTCTGGCTGCCCCAGAGGATCTCAGGAGCTCGATACCATCTCGTGGAAACCTGAGGAGAATACAGACGAGCTTCTTCCTCGGGAAAGTACAAGCGGGCCAGGCCAAAGTCGGCAATCTTGAGCATGTCCGCATCGCTGATTAGCAAATTGGCCGGCTTGATGTCCCGGTGCATTAAGCCCGCCTCGTGGAGATAGGCAATTCCCTTGAACATTTGGTGTGCGAACTTGCGCACCTGCTGGCGACTCAGGGGATTCACCTCGCTTTTAAGTCGGTTGTACAGCGTGTCCGGCTGGTATTCCAGTACCAAGGAGAGCCCAGTTAGGTCGGGATATATGTCAATAATGCCCAGAATCTGCACATAAATGTATGATTAAAACAAACCTGCAATAAAATAAGTTTAACTCACATATTCCGACTTGCAGAGCTGCAGGGTTTTGATTTCCCTTAAAGTGTTCAAAGCTATGTTTCCGAATTTGTTCTTTAGAGCCACCTTTTTGATGGCCACCTCCTTGTTGCGCTGCAAATCGATGGCCTTAAACACGCAGCCATGGACTCCCTCGCCAATTTTCTCGAGCATTTTGTAGCGACTTGGCGCATAGTCCTCCATTTTGGCTACTGACAATTTTCGATTTGGTAATTGGCCGGAGGTGTTCTCAATTTTTTTCCGCCCCCTGTAGTCCATGGTAACGGTCACAACAAACGCCGGAGGACCAGCTGACCGATCCACCTGTTGCAGGATGTTTACAAACTCTGTGGCTTTCGGGTGGAAATTCGGGGGTTGGAAAACCTAGGCCAAGGCGGAGCTGTCACAGCTTTCGGATCGGGGACATGCGCACTTCCTTCCTCGAATTCCTCCTGTCAGCCAAGTGTCAAGTCAGGGGGATACATAATTTTTCGGACCCTCGCACTGCAAAAGTTCTTCGTTCCCCGAGAGTTGAATTAAAATAAGTGTTTAAAATGTTATTGCTGCTAAAATAGTTTCCAGTTAAAGGATAAGCAAAGCTGGTAGGTTGCACTGAGTTGAAATAAATAAGTTTTTATCAAGTGTAGCAGCTTGGAGAGGCATATTCAGTGTGTCTTCCACTCGCGAACAAAGGATACTGAATAATCCATTGTTCATTTTAATCATCAAATTGCTTTGTAATTACCAAACGTGCCAGCATGTCTTCGGCAATTTGTGGCAATTTTGCTGGCCTGGCCTTAGCCTTGCCCCGTCTGTCCTGCAAAACTGCATGCGAGCCCTCACGAAGGCTCGAAATACACGCCCTCTGGGCGCAGCCTTGCCTTCGCAGCCTTGGCCCACCCAAAAACACCCAACGACCACCCACCGCCCCTAATTTACCTCCAAGTTCACGTCCTCGATATGCCCTACTCACATTCAGAATAACTTTGCAGCCCACGCGGTCAACATGTTCCGTTCGAGTTGGATTCCGTTCGCCAGTTTGTTGTTCCTATTTTTCTGGAGCTCCGCCTGGGGCAGAACTGCCAAGAGATCGGACGTCTATATAGCTGGGTTCTTCCCCTACGGCGATGGCGTGGAGAACTCGTACACGGGACGAGGGGTAATGCCCAGCGTTAAGCTGGCTCTCGGCCACGTTAACGAGCACGGAAAGATTCTGGCCAACTACAGACTGCACATGTGGTGGAACGACACCCAGGTAAGTTTATCAACAAAGTATAAAATTTGTAACATTTATGTGCAATGCTAGTACTTTTAAATTGATACTTCTTAATATAAATTTTCTTAAAGAACTTAATCAATTTTTATTTCTAGTAACCCTCTATAATATCTTATCTTTTCCAGTGCAATGCTGCTGTGGGTGTAAAGTCCTTCTTCGATATGATGCACTCGGGACCGAACAAGGTGATGCTCTTCGGAGCGGCTTGCACCCATGTGACGGATCCCATTGCCAAGGCTAGCAAACACTGGCACCTTACCCAACTGAGTTACGCGGACACCCATCCTATGTTCACAAAGGACGCGTTCCCCAATTTCTTCCGAGTGGTTCCCTCGGAGAATGCCTTCAATGCACCACGATTGGCGTTACTCAAGGAGTTCAATTGGACCAGAGTGGGAACTGTTTACCAGAACGAGCCGAGGTATTCACTGCCCCACAATCACATGGTGGCTGATTTGGATGACATGGAAGTGGAGGTCGTGGAAACGCAGAGTTTTGTAAACGATGTAGCTGAGTCCCTAAAGAAACTTCGTGAAAAGGACGTGCGGATTATCCTGGGCAACTTCAACGAGCATTTTGCCCGCAAGGCTTTTTGCGAGGCATACAAGTAAGAAGCTTTTACAAATTAGTTACTTTTGATATTGCCATAAAATCCAAATGCTAATGAAAATATATTCTTTTAGATTGGACATGTATGGTAGAGCTTACCAATGGCTGATCATGGCCACATATTCCACAGACTGGTGGAATGTCACGCAGGACAGCGAGTGCAGTGTGGAGGAGATTGCCACAGCTTTAGAGGGAGCTATTCTAGTGGATCTGCTGCCTCTTTCCACAAGTGGAGACATCACAGTGGCCGGCATTGTAAGTAGCCAAAAAATTTAACTTCGTAAGATATCCTTTTAATATACTCTCAATTATTTTTTAGACTGCAGATGAGTATCTGGTGGAATACGACAGACTGCGGGGCACTGAATACTCCCGGTTTCATGGATACACCTACGATGGAATTTGGGCAGCTGCTCTAGCCATTCAATATGTGGCAGAAAAGCGCGAGGATTTGCTAACGCATTTTGATTACAGAGTTAAGGATTGGGAAAGCGTATTCCTTGAGGCCTTGCGAAATACATCCTTTGAGGGAGTGACGGTTGGTAATCCTTTCAAACATAATATCAATTTATCTCATTCCAATATGCTCTGTAGGGACCTGTTCGTTTCTACAACAACGAACGCAAGGCCAATATTCTGATCAACCAGTTCCAGTTGGGCCAAATGGAAAAGATAGGGGAATATCACTCACAGAGGGCCCACCTGGATTTGAGTTTGGGAAAACCAGTGAGATGGGTGGGCAAAACTCCCCCCAAGGACCGAACCCTAATCTACATCGAGCACAGTCAGGTGAACCCGACAATCTACATTGTTTCAGCCAGTGCTTCGGTAATTGGAGTGATCATTGCCACCGTTTTCTTGGCTTTTAACATCAAGTATCGAAATCAACGGTGAGTTTATGCTGTTTATTCTATATGCATGGAGTAATTTGCCAATTGTGTCTCCTTTAGTTACATCAAGATGTCCAGTCCGCACTTGAACAATCTGATTATAGTGGGCTGCATGATGACCTATCTGAGCATTATTTTCCTGGGATTGGATACAACCTTAAGCTCTGTGGCAGCCTTTCCCTATATTTGCACAGCTCGAGCGTGGATTTTGATGGCTGGTTTCAGTCTCAGTTTCGGAGCCATGTTCTCAAAGACTTGGCGGGTGCACTCGATATTTACCGATCTGAAGCTCAACAAGAAGGTGATCAAGGATTATCAGTTGTTTATGGTTGTGGGCGTGCTGTTGGCCATTGACATAGCCATCATAACCACCTGGCAGATTGCAGATCCCTTTTACCGGGAGACCAAGCAGCTAGAGCCATTGGTAAGTGGTTCATTTTAAATATCTGAAACCAATTTGTTAACATTTGTATTTATTACAGCACCACGAGAACATTGATGATGTTTTGGTGATCCCCGAAAACGAATACTGCCAATCCGAGCACATGACCATATTTGTCAGCATTATTTACGCCTACAAGGGCTTGCTTTTAGTGAGTTAAAAATCAGCTTACTTTGGGATATATTATTTATAAATAAACTTAACTTTCCTTTAGGTATTTGGCGCCTTTCTGGCTTGGGAAACTCGACACGTTTCCATTCCCGCTCTGAACGACTCGAAGCATATTGGCTTCTCCGTTTACAATGTGTTCATCACCTGTCTGGCCGGAGCGGCTATATCCCTGGTGCTATCGGATCGCAAGGATTTAGTTTTTGTCTTACTCTCGTTTTTTATCATTTTTTGTACGACAGCCACTTTGTGTTTGGTGTTCGTACCGAAAGTAAGACTGGTAGTAAGGAAGTTTTGTAGTTTTTGTAGCTGTTATATGTTTACTTATACTCGTGCAATATGAATGTTGTTTTGGAGGCGGTGGACACGTCGATCAGTTTTATTCAGAGCATTCAGACTGATCGGATTCCACCGGCTACTGAGCTGATCTTTCGTCTAGCGCTGAAAACACTTGAAACAGAAACAACATGTACTCGAAATTTCAAAACAGATCCTCAAATGCTATATAACACTACAGACCAACTATAAACTTTAGCTGAAAACATTCCAAGCAGCAGCAAGGTTTTAGACTGGATCTACGGCCTTGCTGTTGGGAAACCCTAGACTGTCCTATACTGCTATCCGTAGAGTAGTCCTTTCTAGATGTTATCCCTGAGGTGTTATTGTCGGTTAATATTCATGCGAATCGATTTGCAGTTGGTGGAGCTGAAGAGGAATCCCCAGGGCGTGGTGGACAAGCGAGTGAGGGCCACCTTGAGACCCATGTCGAAGAACGGAAGACGTGACTCTTCGGTCTGCGAACTGGAACAGAGACTTCGGGATGTGAAGAACACAAACTGCCGATTCCGAAAGGCCTTGATGGAGAAGGAGAACGAGCTGCAGGCTCTGATCCGAAAACTGGGACCCGAGGCCAGGAAGTGGATAGATGGAGTGACCTGTTCGGGTGGCTCCAATGTGGGCAGTGAACTGGAGCCCATCTTGGGCGATGATATGGCCAGGCTATCGGCTCCTCCCGTTCGTCGGGAAATGCCCAGCACCACAGGTGAGTTGCTAAGGTGAAGGACATTCAGGATACGATCATGCATTGACCTCTTTGTCATAGAAGTTACCGAGCTGACCTCCGTGGATAGTGTGACCTCGACCCATGTGGAGATGGACAACTCATTTGTTTCGGTTCAGTCCACTGCAGTGGCACCTTCGCTTCCTCCGTAAGTCCATTACTTTTGGTCCACTTAAACTTGTTTAACATATTCTTTTAAACAGCAAAAAGAAAAAGCAGTCCATTGTGGAGCACCACTCGCATGCTCCTGCGCCCACAATGATGCAGCCCATCCAGCAGCAGCTGCAGCAACACCTCCAGCAGCATCAGCAGATGCAGCAGCAACACCAGCAGCAGCAGCAACAGCAGCAGCAGCAGATGCAGCAGCAGCACCACCAGCAGCAACACCATCGCCACCTGGAGAAGCGCAACTCGGTGTCGGCGCAGACGGACGACAATATCGGAACCATAACCAGTTCGGTGGGCAAGAGGAGCACCGGAGACTGCTCCAGCATGAGGGAGAGGCGACAGTCGACGGCATCCAGGCACTACGACAGTGGCAGCCAGACACCCACAGCCCGGCCAAAGTACAGCAGCTCGCACCGCAACTCCTCCACCAACATCTCCACCTCGCAGTCGGAACTGAGCAACATGTGTCCTCACTCCAAGCCCAGCACTCCGGCTGTGATTAAGAGTAAGTTTAAAACTACGTGAAACAAGAAAGGAACCTAGCTTCGGGGAGCTATGATGCAGTTTGTTAGAGAATTCAAATACAAACGTTTAGAGGTGTGCCACTTCAAAAAAAAATAAGCCAAAAAAATAATTCTAATGATGCAGTTTGTTAGAGAATTCAAATAGATACGTTTATAGATATGCCAATTCGAAATCTGATCAAAATTAGAAATGTTATGGGCTCAGGAGTAGTGAATTTTGGTCAATTTTCAGCAAGCCCATTTTTTGTAAATTTCGGCCAAAAAATAAAAATTTGTCTAATGATGCAGTTTGTTAGAGAATTCAATTAGAAACGTTTAGAGGTATGCCTCTTTAAAATCTGATCAAAATGCAGTTTGTTAGAGAATTCAAATAGAAACGTTTGGAGGTGTGCCACTTCAAAATCTGATCAAAATTTAAAAAGTAATGGACTCTGAATTAGTTAATTGTAGTATCTTTTTTTAATAAGTGTTAGATTGAAGTTTCCCGAAAGTAACCCACCATTTTCGCACGCAGCTCCCACTGCCTCGGACCACCGGCGCACCAGCATGGGCTCCGCGCTGAAGTCGAACTTCGTGGTGTCGCAGAGCGACCTCTGGGACACGCACACCCTGTCGCACGCCAAGCAGCGCCAGTCGCCGCGCAACTACGCGAGTCCGCAGCGCTGCGCGGAGCACCACGGGCATGGGATGGGCTACGACCCCAACACCACCTCGCCCATCCAGCGGTCCGTGTCGGAGAAGAACCGCAACAAGCACCGGCCGAAGCCGCAGAAGGGCACCGTCTGCCAGAGCGAGACGGACAGCGAGCGGGAGCGGGACCCGCCGCCGAGCAGCCAACCCTGTGTGCAGCCGCGCAAGGTGAGCCGCAACTCGAACTCGATTCAGCACGCCGCCCACCACCACAGCTCGCCCAATGTGGCGCCCGACAAGCAGCGGGGCAGGCAGCGGGGGGGCAAGCAGGAGAGCAGCATCTACGGGGCGAGCAGCGAGACGGAGCTGCTCGAGGGCGAAACGGCCATCCTGCCCATCTTCCGCAAGCTGCTCACCGAGAAGAGCCCCAACTACCGGGGCCGCAGTGCCGTCGGCCAGAGCTGTCCGAATATATCCATCAAATGCGATATCGTCGAGTATCTGTAGGCGGTATCCCTGAGATACATTGTGTAGTCGAACTCCTATTGTTAGATCCAGTCGCAATCTAAGATTACCTATTGTTTTTCCGCGTTATGCATCTACATTCTATGTGAGGCAGGACACACAACATTTAGAGAACTAGTAGCAATGAGATAGTTGAGAAATAAATTACCATTTAAATTAATCTTACAACTAATCGTGTTTTTGTTTTCGCTTGAAAAAGAGTGTGAAAGAAAAGTTGTAACTGATTTAAATCATCTGGAACCCTTATTTATCCTATGATTTAAAGAATTCGTTATTCACTGTGAAGCGGAAACGGCAAATTTAATTTAATGACAAAATATCTATGACTGAATTCGTGATGGGGATTCTACTGCAGTGCGATGCGCCGGAAGTGATTGTTCAGAGGACCCTCGTCCGAATACCCTGCGATCTCCTGTGGAATGATGCCGGATTCCTCGATGGAGGTGCACGGCCGACACATGCACTCCAGCGGAGCCTTGGTCAGCACCTTCTTGAACTTCCTCTCGCCGGGCTTCACTTTGGGGCAGAAGAGGGAGACGGCTGCCTCCCGCTCGCCAGACTCCTGGCAGCACATGCACGACCGCTCCATCTGCCAGATTTTGCTGCCCGAAACCTAAAAATCGGTTGAATAAACATCCATATTTAAATATTCATTATAAAAACATACCTGAATATAACTTGCACAGCGACCCACGCAGGCGAACGAGGGAATCGGTTTGGGCACACAGCCAGGATATTGGAGCACATGAATGACGGGCGTCACCTGGCAATCGTCTCCGAGATGAGTGATGTCTGTAAAGGATTAAAGTCCCTCAATGACTTTAAATCTAAAGTAAGCAGACTTATAACCCACCATTATCTGTGGCGGTTAGGGAATTCTCTGCCTGCGCCGTGCAGAGTTTCAGGATGCTGACCAGGACGCAGTAGAGCAGGATCAGGACGAAGACCTTGTTGTTCTCGTGGCGGAGCAGGTGGCGCAGCATCTCGTCGGCCCGACTGCAGATGTCCTTTGCGTGGAATGGAAAGCGCCACTTGCAGCCGTCGGGCTTTTATAGACGGACTTGGCCAGCGGCTGCCGCTGTAATGGCCGCTCGACTGCGTGAATTATGGCCTAATAAAGCAAGCGCCTCCCGAACCTTTTTGCCTAGTAATTGCGTACACGAAAAGGGCATTTCTCCCGCAGCGCATGACCACGGCAATCTCTTTATTTCCCCACAACTTATTAGCTAATCAGAGCCAGGCCACCAGGCACACCACTGCCAACAGAACCATCGCCATGGAAGTCGCTCCTTGGCTGGAACTGCCGTTCTTGCGGTCCAAATAGGTGGCCAATCTGTTGAGTCGCTTTTCGGCCCACTGAAGGTTCAGCTCCACGGCTTCTACAGCTTTCGAGAGAACTGTTTGTGAGTCTCCGAAGAGCTGGTAGTTTCCGTCGTAGAACTCCTTGAACAACTGCTGCTGCTTCCGAGTGGTGAAGTACTCCGCCATGTCGCTGATTACCTCCGCCGTTTCCGACCAGCTGTCCAAACTGAAAAAAAAGATTCATAAGAAATACAAATAAAGTGTTAAAACTAATACAACTTGGGAAGTGAAACCAAAAGGAAATGAAATTAGTAAGGTTCCAACTTATATTACTCTTTAATCTGTACGTTATCTAGAAGTTAATTTGATCCCGGTTATAAACAGGTTCCAGCTTACCATATTGCCAGTTCAGTGACGTTCTTAGTTATCATTTCAAAGATGGGCTCCACCAAATGGGGATTCTGCTCGTACAGCCGTGCCACACCGATCTTCTTTTGCTCAACGGTTTCCGCTCCCGCGATGATCATCTTGTAGTAATGAGTCTCGTATTCACTTGTGCAACTGGCTGCGGACCAGAGCATTTCCCGCTCGCTGGGACGAGTTTCCAAGTAGTAGAGTCCCCAAACCGTAGTGTATGAGTTAAAATCGCTACTACTGGCTGCGCAGTAGAAGGTTTCCCGGTAATCCGGAGATGGTTTCTCAGGATTTGTTACGAACTGAACGTTGACCTTGTTCCTGCAACTGCTGACCTGGAATCTACACAGCCACTTGATCAACTTATTCCGGTTGGCCACGTCCAGCGGGGAATCCTGCGCACTCCATCCCACTCCCAGTTTTTCGAAAACCGCTTTTGTAACGTCCGAAAGATATTTCCCGAAGTTGGGCAGCTGATCAGGGGTCATTCGCTGGGCAACCAGGTTCAGGTTCTCGTAGACAGCATACCAGGGCACGTAGTCAACCTCCTTGTTCAGGTACTCCAGGAACTCAAACACCTCCGCGTAATCAATGTAGCCAACTTCTGCGAAGTTGAAGAGGTCATCGATGATCTGGGCCCGGTTCTCCACGGGTATCCCACTGTGGTTCGATGCGGTTAAAGCCACCTTAAGACCTTTCATCAGGGTTTCGTCATAAAGAACCCTTTGGTAGTTTGACTGCCTCAGGTTGACCAAAATCCAATCGATGGGCTGGTCAAAGTATGCGCGATACATGTCAACGACCCTGTGCATATATATGATCGGAGTCATGTTATAGAAATTCGGCTCCAGATTAGTGGTATAGGTTATCGGCACGGTGTATCTCAGAGTGGCATTGCTCCCGTCCTCTGGGTCGAGCAAGAATCGCTGCCTCTGTATATACACCCAATGGTTATCCAGGGAAGCATTCACTATCAGCATGGGATAACCCACTTGCTCCGTGTAATCGGCGAAAAAGTGTTGCAGATCTACATCCTGATTTTTAGGCCAGTTCTCAAAGAGGTGGTAAAATAAGTTATTAGGCACTGTGTTGGTCGATTGGCTGAAAAGAAGATTATTGGTTGTACTTCAAAAGTTGTTTGTTTTATAACTAAATTACTTACTATTGTTTCAGGTAATTCCTGATGGCAGTGTCGAAGTTGTCTGCCCCCATGAGATTACGCCACATCCTCAAAATACAAGCTCCTTTGGCATAGGCGATTCCGCTGAACTTGTAGGCGATCTCGTTGGGTGTGTTGATCTCCGATTCCGGACTGGTCATGGGTTGGGAGCTGTTCCTGGCATCCGTTGCAAAGATCAGCTGCATTTGGCGCACCACAAACTGCTCGTCCAAGCGATACTCCGGATACAGCTGCAATGATTTGGTTTTGTTAATTATACTGAAATACATACTAGGTTAGTATTCCCACCTGGTGTGCCATGAAGTACTCGTAGTAGCGGGCAAAGGCCTCGTTTAGCCAGAAGTAACTCCACCAGGAGAAGGTGACGCTGTCACCAAACCACATGTGCGAAGTCTCATGAGCAATAATACGAATGGCAAACTCCTTATCCGACCAATCGTCTGAGTATTCAGCTTCCTGGACTAGGACGGCATCGCTTCACACAAAAGAAAAGTATAAATTATTTTAAAATAAATATTTAAATAATATTCTAACGCAGACTCACCTGTAGATAATGAGCCCCCAGTTCTCCATGCCGTTGTGAGGAAATTTAGGAGAACTGGCATACTGAAGAACCTCATTGCCCAATTCAGCGTACGGAAGCTGGAACAACTTCTCAAAGGCTGGCACCACCTGCTGACCCACTTGGTAGCTGAACTCGGTGTTGTTATAAAATTCCGGGCGGGTCAGCACAGCAAACTCGCTAACGTTTCCGCGGGCAGAGTAATTGGCCACCATGAAAGCCAGCAGATAAGTGGACATAACAGGGGTTTCCTCGAAGTGGTCCACATAACGATTTTGGCTGAAATTGAGGGAACAACTAAATTGAATACACTTATCCCTTTATATTTTATGTTGCAAAGTACCTTATCGCTGTGGTTTCCCTCAGCTTAGTGTTTCCAATGGCCTGATAGCCATTCGGCCGGACAATCTGCAGCTGGAACTTGGCCTTCATGGCGGGTTCATCGAAGCAGGGGAAGACCAACCGAGCGTTGATGCGCTGCATCTGGGTGACGGCCATCCACCTGGTTACGTTGGAGTCCTTCTCCTCATAGCTGGCGGAGAACAAGCCGGCCATATCCGTTCGTATCTGCCCGGTGAACTTGAACCCCAGCGTGTAGCTTTGGCCAGGCTGAACGGCCTGCGTCAGCGGAACTGTCACCTGTTGAGTGGCTCCCTCGTAAATCAGCCGGCCGATATCGATGGCCTCCAGCAGCGCACCTGTGGCATCGAACAGCCAGCACTCCGATATTTCCAGTGTGTCGGCATGTAGAGTGATTTGTTGGAGCGGCGATTGCGAGACCACCCGCAGAGTTATGCTCACTTCGCCATCGAAGAGCGTGGGCTCCGCGGAATCCCCGAGAACGCCGATGGTCAGGTTGTAGATCGAAGGTACGACGCTGCCGTCCAGCCGGTAATCAGCGCCATTTGCGACTCCGATCAGCAGCAAGGCAAGTAGCCCCAAAACCCGAGATGGCGAACTGCTCATGTCGACCGAAGCTCGAAAACTGGGGACTCGGATGCCGACTGCCAGAACGCCAAAATCACAAAACCAAATAAAAGTTCCCCCCGCAAAACAGGTGTCGTTCGCAGATGATTAGATTACAGAATGTTTGTCAACGATCCAAAATAAGCGTCTCTCACTTAAGTGCCTTATCAACAAGCCATCGGGTGCTCATTAACCTGCTAAATGAAATGACAATTATTATTTTAATTACCCGCTGACTGCTGTCCAATTACTTCAGTTAGAAAAATTTATTGCTAGCTCCAAATAATGAGTAGCTTTATTAGTTTTGATTTCGCAAAGCCAATAAAGCTAACTATTTTAATAAAATGTAATTTTTGAGCATAGTACTATCCATTCACCAACAATTGGGAAGTCCAACTTGCTTTTTAGTATTGTCAGAGAAGGCTCTAGGTTTTTCATTTTGAAAGCACGGCAAGTTCTGATCTCTTCGGTGGCGCGTAAATCACTGCCCTCGCAATGGCAATTCGATCCTATTTTATAGTCCTGGCAAACCATCTTCCCATCTCTGTCACGCCCCTGCGATCAGACCTTACTCAGCAGCAAAGCTCGATCCATGCAGCAGTGCGTTCTTAGAACCGTTGCACTTCTTAAAACAACAACTTCTTAAGAAGGACGATGGTTGGTGCCCCGTCCTTCTTAGAACAACGTGACGCAATTCAAAAATGTACAATCTCATACAGTGGTCAAACCAATCATTCTATGCCGTACATACAGTGGGCAAAATTACTATTCTACGACAGTATTGTGATAACAAACATGTGACGTAACCAGTTGATTTCAAAGCCATTTTAATATTTCTTAGAAGACATTGTAAAAGTTTGGCGATAAGTTCACAATAGTCATAATAATTTATGGTTCGATTAAGTTTAGTATCAAGTGAAAAACAAATCATATCAAACTGTCATCAAATAGTGATAGTAATCGGTGGACATTGAGAAAAAGTACTGTTGTTTAATCTGAAGACTATATTTATTAGCTAAAACCTCCTTAACTTATATTAAATCCCCGAAAGATTAGAAAGTGAATCATAAGAAAAATGTATCTTTATTTAAACAAGAAATCGTAAAAAATATCGAGAAAGATTTATGATACGATAAAATTGCAATTTATGAGTTGTAGTATATTAATAAGCAAGCTACCAATTTAGCCATAAAATCAATGGTCAAATAAATATAAAATAAACAATAATAATAAAACGTAATAAAAAGAAATTTTCACCAAATAATAAAACCGATTCTAACTTAAATGAAATCCCCGAAAGATTGCCAACTGAATCATGGTTCTAAGAAACCGCTTACATAAATCGCAAAACTATCCACAAAGAAAAATGTTTTACTGCCCTGATAAAGTCTTATAGTTATACGGTGATCGATTGATTAGGCACTTTAACTCAATGAAATCCCCCAGAGACTGTAAACTGAATCATCCGCATTCAATGGCGCTAATCAGATTGTAAACTTTGTCGCCGGGCCATTTAAGCCTAAAGTTTGAGTGATTTGCCAAGTGCCCGCCATAATGATATACGAGTGTCGAGTTATCTACAAAAGTTTATAGTTTATTGGGTGCTCTAAGCGTGGAAATACTTTATGGGTTAATGGCTAACGTGACCCGTTTGCACCGAGTGGGCTAATCTCCGCCCGATCTAGTGGCGCAACATGGTGGCCAGGGCGACCATCAGGAGGCTGAGGGCACTGAAGGCGCTGGCCATGGCGCTTCCGTTCCGGTTGGCCAGGTAGCTGCGGAACACTCCCAACTTGGCCGCCGCCCACTGGAGGTTCTCCGAGACGGTTGCCTCCGCGGCGGTCAAAGTGGCCTGCGAGTCGCCGAACTTGGTGCCGCTGTTCCGGTTGAAGGTCTGCAGGTCGGTCAGCTGCTGCTCCGTGGTGAAGCGGGCGGCGATGTTGGAGATCACGGTGGCCACGGCGGAGTATCCACCCATGCTGCAGGGAAATCATGAACATAAATAAAAGCCAGATAAATCAGTATTAAATACACTTACGCCTCAGCCAGATCCTCGAACTTCTGAGTGACCAGGGCGAACACCGGGCTCACGTTCTCGTTGTTCTCAGTGTAGAGCGTGGACAGCACGGAGGACTTGTCCTGCCGGCGGATCTCGTCGCTCAGGACCAGGTTGAACACCCGCTCGATGAGGGCCTGGGTCTTCACGCAGCCGAAGGAGTTCTGCAGCAGGGTCTCCTCGGTGGCCACGGTCTCGGTCTTGAACTTGTTGTACAGGGCCTCGAACTCGGCGGTGCCGCCCTCGCGGAGCGCCACGCAGTAGACGGTGGAGCGGATGTTCTTGGGCACGGTGGTCAGCGACTGGAAGTAGCTCTTGGCCTTGCTGATGCAGTCGGCGCTGCCGTAGCGACAGGCCCACGAGAGGATCTTGGTGCGCAGGTAGATGTCCAGGGCGGAGTCGCTGGTGGTCTCGTTGAAGCCCAGCTGGGAGTAGGCCTTGTTGGTCAGCGCCTGGATGTAGGTGTTGAAGTCGGAGGTGTCGTTGCCCAGCCGGATGGTCAGGTAGCTGAAGCCGTTGAAGGCCGACGTCCAGGGAATGTAGTTCGTCTCCGTTTCCAGGTACTCGATCACGTCCAGGGTGAGGTTGTAGGTGATCTGCCCGGCCCTCGCCAGGTTGAACAGATCGTCGACGATCTGGGCGCGGTTGTTCTCGTGGATGCCGCTCCAGTTGGCGGCCAGCAGGGCGTGGTGGATGGCGTGCCAGTTGCTCTCCGTGTAGTTCACCCGGTAGTAGCCGGTCTGCTGGACGTTGGCAATGATCCAGGTGAGGGCCGAGGGGAAGGTCACGGTCGTGGTCACATCGGGCCGCAGGATGAACTTAGGCGTGGCGTTCTGGAAGTTGTTAGCCTCACTGGTGGTGTACGAGATGGGAATGGTGTACTTCAGGTTGGCGTCCGCTCCGTCGTTCTCCTTCAGCAGGAAGCGCTTCTGGGTGAAGCTGACCGAGAGTCCGTTGGCGGCCAGCGCGGCGTTGACCACCGGGTAGCCCACCTGGGTGGTGAAGCTGGTGAAGATGTCCTCGGAGCTCGCGTTGTAGCTGCTGTTGGGCCACTGGGCCTGCCAGGCTCCCAGGAGGTACTGCGGCACCGATGGCTGGTACTTGCTGGAAAGTGGATTGGGTTACTCCTCTGCAAGCAGATGGACCATCAAGGAACTTACTATTTCTCGAGGTACTGCTGCAGGGCCGTCTGGAAGTTGGCCTCGCCCATGGTGTGCTTGATCATCCGGATGAAGGAGGCGCCCTTGTTGTACGAGATGCTGTTGAACATGCGGCTCAGATGAGCTGGAGTGTAGGTGTTCTCGTCGCTGAGCGGGTTGGTGGCGTTCGTCGAGTCCATGGCCATCACCGACTGGATTTGGTCGACGACGAACTGCTTCTCCAGCTCCCAGTCCTTCTCCACCATGGCGGTGCCGAAGTACTGGAAGTAGCGCGCGAATCCCTCGTTCAGCCAGGTGTAGCTCCACCACTTGCAGGTGACCAGGTCGCCGAACCACATGTGCGCCTGCTCATGGGCCACCACGGCGGCGATGGACTGGCGGGAGGCCAAGGTGGTCGCCGACTCGTCCACCAGCAGACTGCGCTCCCTGTAGGTCAGCAGGCCCCAGTTCTCCATCGCTCCGGCGGAGAAGTCGGGGATGGCGGCCATGTCCATCTTGTCGTTGCCCATCGTGTAGTAGTTCTTGTTCAGATAGGTGCCCATCTCCTGCAGGATCTGCACGCCCACGTTGTAGGGGTACTGGGTCTGGGCGTAGTACTCGGGACGGGCGTACACTCCGAAGGAGTCGTCCCTGCGGGCCACGAACTCCGAAATGATGAAGGCCAGCAGGTAGGTGGACATTATGGGGGTCGTCTTGTACACATCCGTGTAGTAGCCCCTATTTACGGGAAAAAGCAATTGAAGATTTAAATCGTTAGTAAATAATTAAAACAAATATTAAATCAATAAATGTAAGATTCGGAATTTTGTAAGTTCTCTTAAATTCAAAACGAGTCAAAAATCTTTAAATTTGAATAAGTAAAGTGGTTTGCTTACTCCTCGTCGCTGGGATAGGATCCGATCAGCCGGGTGTTACTAGCCGAGTTGAAGGTCCTGTGGCGCTTCAGAGTGACGTTGAAGGTGGCCTTGAACTGGGGCTCATCGAAGCTGGGGAAGGCGCGGCGGGCGTGGTGGGTCTGGAACTGGGTGGAGCCGAGCCACTTGGTCACATTGTTGTCGTCCACATAGTAGCTGCGGTAGAAGCCGTGCATGTCGTCCTGCATCAGACCGGTGTACACGAAGTGCAGGATGTACGAGACGTTGGCCGTCAAGGAGGTGGCTGTCGTGAGCTTGATGATATCCGCATCATCGTCGGTGGAGCTCAGAGTAAGTGTGCTGGGCGTGGGATTGGCGACGCCATCAGCTGGCTTCTGCCAGTACTCGCGGACCGAGTAGGTGATGTTCTTGGAGTGCAGGTGCACGTCGGTGGTGGTCTGGTTGGGCCTCACCTCGATCCAGACCTCGCCGTCGAAGGTGAACCGCTTGGTGCCGTCGGACTCCAGCAGATAGGGTCGCAGGGTGATGTTGTAGCTCACGGGAGAGATGTGTTCGGAGAGGCGGTAGTCCTGCAGGGTGGTGGCCAAGGTGCTCGGTGGCTGGACATCCACGTCCAACTGCCGAGTTCCAGCGGCGGCCAAGGACACGCAGGCTGCCAGGAGAAGAGCCACTCGCAGGGCGAACATCTTAGCTATTGATTAGAAACGTTAAAAAAAAGAAATCGTTTTAACACTGAGGAAGATTTTAAAGTCCGAAGATAAGTACTAAATAGGAATGCATGTTTGGCATCACGATTACAATAAATTTTCAAGAGATTGTAAGCTTTTCAACAAAAATCTTCTTGTCACAGAAAATTCTTTAAACTGTAGTATATATATATTTAAAAAGCTATGATATCCTTTGTTTATTTTTCAATAAAAATCTATGTTATCCTTTATCGTGCACAACTAGACTTCTTATTTCACCAGAACCAGAAACACTTATATAACCACTTTGGAAACTCACTGTTCAAGGGTTCGATCGCGGACCCGGGACTAGAATTGGTATTTCGCACGCCACTCGGCACGCGATTCGGATCGAAGACTAAAGGCCGCCTGGCTTTGGGACCAGTTTATATGAAATTGCCAAGCGCTGGCCGACTTGGCCATTATCAGCGGTTTATCTGCAGCCTTTACCTTTTTATTTCGGTCCAGATAAAGTTGGCCTGGTCTATAGATTAAGCGGCGATAGCGATAAGAGGACATTGCGGTGATTTACACACTCTGCCATTGGCTACCAATCCACGCTCTTCGAATATCGCTAGACGATGGCATAACATTGGATTTTGGCTGCACTGCTTGTTTGTGGAAGCCTCGCCGCTTTATGGTGCACTGCCTCCAATCTTATCGAGCATGAGTTGCACTCTTTCGAGGAGGAGTGACAAGCAACGTTGTCTTTTCAAATATGTTGAGTCAACAGTCGGACTTGAATCGGATCATTCCATTACATTCTAGAACTAAAATAATAGAACATTTTGGTTCCATGCTTAAAGTTTTTTTTTTTTATGTTTCGAATATTACAACCAAATTAAATCTTTATAAAAAATTAAGTTGACAATCTGAAGCTTATCAAAATAAAAGCCACAATCTATTGAGTATTTTTCGGTTTTCAAGGAAACTTTTCCTGCTCTAAAACACTTGGCAAATAATAATTGTACCCAAAGCAGAGTAGAAATCGAAAGCCAATATTTATAGTCCCATTTAAAAAAAAACTTTACTTTGCTGACAATTTCGCTTTTGGTGGTTCAGGAAAAATTATTCCGATAGAGCAAAAAATAAGTAAAACCACAAGAATATAATAGTGATCCTTTGTTCTATTGAAATAATATTTAATACAACCCTTCTATATTATTTATTTTTCATCCACCTGCAGCTGATAAGGATAATCACCTACTTCGCCAAAATAATAAATTTTAATTGCTTGGTTCCTCAGGAAATTTGATTTCTTTGTTTCCACTGGGGAAACTACAGGATAGATTTGTAAACCCCGCACTCTTTTGGTTTTAGTTGCCACGGCTGATTACGGAACGATTTTATGGCTCCGCCTGGAAGAGGAAATTTATGAGATCACCCCTTATCTGGCCAAATCGATCAGGCGATTCACGATTCACGGCCGTAAAACCCCGGAGGGAACTGTAAATTCTCAGAGTGAGCAAACAAGTCTTTGGGGTATTAAAGGAATTTATTGGCGCACGAGTGCGGGTCTACGACTAACTTAGGAAACTACGTTCTAGAACAGCTTGGCGGCCAGGAGGCAGGAGGCCAGGATGGCCACCAGGGAGGCGCTCAAGGCGGAGCTGCCGCTCCTGGTGCTGTAGGCGGTGACCCAGGTGATGAGGGGCTCCCGGTTGGACTGCAGCCAGGCGTTGTTGGCGTTCACATTGGTGTCCACGCTGGTCTGCAGGGTGGTGGGCACGTACTCGGAGTCCTTCACGGTGTCCACTAGCTTCTGCAGCTCCACGCGCTGCTTGTCGTTCACCACGTAGGCGGAGATGCCGACGATGTCGCTGTACAGAGGGTTCACTCCGCCGAATCCGGTGTCCAGCTGGGCGTACTCCTCCCAGTTCTCCTGCAGGAAGGCGACGGCGGCCAGCAGACCCACCTCGCCGCGGGAGTAGGCGGGGCTCAGCAGGGTGATCCTCTCCTGCACGCGGATGCTGTTCGACTTGTCGATGCTGCTGGCCAGGAACTTCTCCAGCTGCGCGGTGCTCTGGGAGCAGCCCAGGGCGGAGATCAGGAGCCGGCGCTCGGCCTGGTCGGTGGAGTTGAGCAGCTTGTTGTACACGAAATCGAAGGTCTTGTCATCGGCCTGCTTGAGACCGTTGCAGTAGACCTGCGACTGCAGATTGGGTTCGATCACGGTGCCCTGCTCCACCAGAGCGGTCAGCTTGGCGGTGGTCTCCGTGAGGCAGCTCTCCAGTCCAGCGAGGCAGGCGATGTTGATCAGCAGGTTGCGGGTGAACTTCACCAAATGCTGCTCTCCGCTGAGGTCGTTCACTCCGAACTTGTCGTACTGCAGGCTCACCAGCTCGCGCACGTAGTACTGGAAGTTGGCGTAGTCAGCATCGCCACTCAAGTATCGGTTGAACAGGGTGATCACCGTGTTGGCGGCGGACCAAGGGGAGTACTGGTCCTCCTGGGGCAGGTAGGTCAGCAGCTGCAGCAAGGTGGCGTGGGGCACGCGTCCGCTGGTGGAGAAGCGGTACAGGTCGTTGATCAGCTGGGCGCGGTTGCGGGGATCGATCTTGTGCGGGCGGGAGATCAGTCCGTCGGTGATCAGCTGCCAGTTCTCGGTGTCGTAGTTGACGCGGTAGTAGCCGGTGGACTTCTTGTTCAGGATCAGCCAGTTGGCGTTGTCCAACTTAGCGTCGATGGAGATCTCCGGGGTGTTGAGCAGGTAGTGGGTGGCCTCCGTGTCGCGGAAGTCGGGGTTCGAGAAGTCGGCGTAGTTGATGGGCACGTACCACAGCTTGTCGCTGGTGTAGTCCTTGTCGTTGGTGTACACCGACTGCCTCACGGTGAAGGAGCCGTTCTCGTAGTTGCGGGTCACCGTCAGCAGCGGAACTCCGCCCTGGTTGGTCCAGCTGCCCATCATGTTGGCCACGGTGGCTGGCACCGCGTAGTTCTCCTCCACGGCGGCCTTGGCGATGCCCGCGAACAGCTTGTCGGGATTGGCAGCGGTGAATTGGCTGGATGGAGTTTAGATTTCACTGATTAGTGAACTGAACAAGATTAGTTTGCACTCTTGACTTACTTATCCACCAGGTAGTTGTGCAGACCGCGCTGGAAGACGGTGTTGGTCAGGGCGTGGCGCCACATGTCCAAAACGGATCCCGCCTTGGCATAGGAAACGGAGTCGTAGAGCAGGGCGATCTCGGAGGGCTTCTGGACGAAGTGGCTCATGGGACGAGCACTTGCGTAGGCATCGTTGACCAGGGCACTCTGGTAGGAGCCGGCATGGAAGGTCTGGAAGATGTCCCACTCGGGATAGGCCTGCAATCGAATATCGTTAGCAATGTACCATTAAATCACTTAAATTCCAGCTCACCAAATCCACAGCCAAGTTCTCGAAGAGCGTGGCGAATCCCTCCTTGAGCCACAGGAAGCTCCACCACTCGATGGCCACCAGATCGCCGAACCACATGTGGGCGTCCTCATGGGCCTCGATGGTGGCGATGTTGGTCTGGGTGCTGATGGTCGAGTTCACGGGGTTGTACAGCAGGTATTCTTCGCGGTAGGTGGCCAGACCCCAGTTCTCCATGGCGCCGGCGGCGAAGTCGGGGACTCCAGCCTGGTCCAACTTGGGCAGGGCGAAGGGAACGCCGAAGTAGCCGGAGAGGCGCTTCTCCACCAGCATTCCGGTGGTCAGAGCCCACTCCTGGTCGTTCTCAGTTCCCTTGCGGGAGAAGACGCGCTGCGGCAGGCCATTCAACTCTCCTTCCGAGTAGACGAACTCGGAGACGATGAAGGCCACCAGGTAGGAGGGCATGTTCACGGTCTTCTCGAAGGAGGTGACTCCAGAGCTGAAAGGGGGACCATAAATTGATTGGTTAAATGATTATTTTGCATTTTTACCTAGTTTATTACCGACATTTATTGTCAATACTACTACTTGTTATAAAAGAGCCATAAATGACGGGGCAGAATACATATGTTGCTTTTCTTTCATTCACTATACCACTATATTTCATGTGAACTTTTAATGAATTTTTCCTTATATGAATTCAAAGTACTGATAGCCATATGAAAGCCATAAATGTGTTTCTGTGCAACCACCCTAAAGATTGGTATGCTTATCATAAATTTAAAGTCATCGTTCCATAAAAAGAAATTTTAAATTATATAACCTCCTTTCAAATAACTATTAAAAATATATATGAATAGGAGAAACCCCTTTAATTGCGAAACCCAAAAAGGAAGTAAATCCCCGAAAAGGTACCCACCTGGAGGCAGTCTCGTTCACTGGCATGTTGCTGATGGCGTTGTAGCTGGGGTCGTGCTTGATGGTGATGGTGAACTGGGCCCTCTTCGAGGGTTCGTCGTAGCAGGGGAAGGCGTGGCGGGCGTCGGTGCTCTCGAACTGGGTGGTGGCCAGGTACTTGGTGTTGCCCTCCTCGTCGGTGAAAGTGGACAGGTAGAAGCCTCCGTTGTCCGTGCGCAGGTGTCCCTGGTAGTTGATCGTGAGGATCCACGTGGTGTCAGCGGGGAAGGTGACTCCCGTCCTGGAGAAGGTGAGGAACTCGCGGGCCGCCTCGTACGAATGGTCCAGTTCCTGGGCCACGGCTCCCTCGACTCCCACCTGGATGATGCTGGCGGTGTAGTTCTCCAGCTGGCGGGCATGGACCACGATTTCCGAGGTGGCAGCCGTGACGTTCAGGGTGATGGCAACGGTTCCGTTGAAGACGGTGTCTCCGGTGTGCACATTGGTGCTCAGGTTCACATCGTAGTGGACGGGGACCGTCTCGTTGGGCAGGCGGTAGTTATCCTCGTCCGCGAAGGGGACCACCAATCGCTGGTTGGGGTTCTCCAGGCTCTGCAGCTGCTCGAAGGGCGGGAAACTGCGCACCACCGCCGCCTGGGTGGTGCAAACGGCCACCACAAGGACCAACAATAGGGACATGCCCCCGATCTGAACGCGACTCATGGCGAAAACGCGGCAAGACTAAAGTGGCGAACTTCGGGCAGCCACTTTTAAACGAGAGGCGGGCCATCTTATCTTCTGGCACAACTTGGCATAAAGATTAGCCCAATCTTTTGGCGTGGAATGACCATTACTACAACGTCTCTCCTTTCAGTTGCGGCTCCATTGGCAGTAAATCAAGTATTTCACTACCCTTTAAAGCCGCTGAAAATGTATTATAGCTATGGTTGGCAACAATCACGTCTCAGATAATGCCGAATAACAGCGACCATTTGAAGATAGACATGCTGATAAAAGTCTCGAGTGGAACACTGCCCTTGATCTGATAAGGGTTTGCTGACTTTCGAAGATCTTAAGATAGTAAACTCTCTCCAAAAACTATGCTTTATCTTCCCCTCAAATTAGTATTGTAGTAGTAAGATTAATTTAATTAATGAAAAGTATCTTTAATGCGAAATGGTATAAACACTTACTTCTAAACGGAAACTCAAACACTTTCAATGGAACTCAGCTACCAGCAAACTTATCAGACTTAAAAACCTCTTCTTGTGCAATAGACTCTCAACTGAAGCTCTTGAGATAAAGACCAGACCATAATCCACTGGACATTACCAAGCGAAAATTCAAATACTACAATGTGTAATATAGATTATTCATTTAAAAGCCTGAACGAAATGAAATGTGGACTCATTCTATGCGAATAAAAACCACAATGAGCCCTTTGTACTTGAAAGTTTCAGATCGCTATCTGATGTGGGCACGAGAACTTCATAAAACGCTCCAGGCATTGTAAATATCCACTCGATAATCGAATTTCGCCCTAAGCCCAACTATCAGTGCTTTATCGATTGCCATTCCCCAGAATTGCGATTAGATTGACCGCTGAAAAGTGTGGCAACCAAGCCATAAATCTACTCGCAATTCCATCTGGGGAACTTTGAACATCCCCCAGCAGGGGAATCTACCAGTCCGAAATAACCATCCGTATCAATTCTATTTCGGCTCCCCAATAACACACAATCTTCAACCGTGATTCATGTTGTTTTACTGTTTTTTACTGAATTTATGTCTAATACTTGACCACATGACTTAGCCTAAAATAGCCTGAAGAGCAGCAGAGCCATCGCACTGATCAGGATCGTGGCGAAGGACGATCCCAGAGAGCGACTGCCGCCCTCCGCGAAGGACTCCTCGATCCAGCCGAGCAGGGGATCGCGGTTCACGTCCAGCCAATCGAAGTTGGCCTGTATTCTGGAGTCGATGGTGGTGCTCAGATCGTCGTTGAGGTAATCGCCTCCACTGGCCTTAACAGTATCCACCAAGGCATTGAGCTGTTAATAGATTGGTTAGTACTTTCCTGGACATTAAGAGAACTCCTTATAACTCACCCTTGTCTTCTGCGTCTCGCTGACCACGTAGGTGGCAATTCCTCGCAGGGCGGAATCCAGAGGCTTGGCGGTCGTGGACAGCTGGGCATATGCCTGCCAGTTGACCTCCAGGAAGTCCAAGCTGGCGATGAGACCGATTTCACTGCGGGAGTAGGCCGAGTTCAGCAGGGAGGTGCGCTCCGAGTAGGAGAGGCTGTTGGTCGAGGCCAGGGAAAGGCTTAGGAACTCAATCAGCTGGGAATTCGTCTGCGAGCAGCCCAGCGAGGAGATGAACAGGCTGCGATCGGTGGAGTCCGTGGAGGAGAGCAGGTCAGACTGCACCCTGCTGTAGACGGTGTTCGTGGTGGAGCGGAGACCGGCGCAGTAGGCCTGGGTTCTCAGAGTGGCCTCGATGTGGGTGCCGTTGTAGAGGTACTCGGAGAGCTTGGTGGCCGACCGGCTGTAGCACTCGCTGGAGCCCACCTGGCAGGCCAGGCTGACCAGCACGATGCGGAGGTAGTTGTTCAGGTAGTGCTCCCCGGGAATCTCGTTGACGCCGATCTGGGCGAAGATGGGATCGATCAGCTGCTGCACGAACCGCTGGAAGTACGAGTAGGAGTTGTCGCCGCGCAAGTAGCGATCGTAGACGGTCAGGATGGTGTTGGCCGTCGACCAGGGAGCGTACTGCTGCTCGTTCTCCAGGTAGCCCAGGAGCTGCAGCAGGATGGTGTGGCTCACGCGGTCCGTGTTCACAAAGATGTACGTGTCGTACAAGAGTTGAGCTCGGTTGCGTGGGGGGATCTTCCAGGGTTGGCTCTTCAGAAGCGCGGCGATTAGCTCGTAGTTCTGGGTGTCGTATATTGTGCGGTAGTAGTAGGCGTTATTGATGTTCACCAGCAGAGCCTCATCGCTGGACACGGAGACATCCGAGATCACGGTCTCCGTCACGTTGAGCAGGTAGTGGGAGGCACTCGTGTCGCGGTAGTCCCACTTCGAGGCAGTGGCGAAGTTCACGGGCACGTACCAGGTGGCCACGTTGGCGTCGTTCTTGTCCGCCACGTAGCGCTTCTGGGTGATCGTGATGGCGCCGGTCTGGTAGTTGCGGGTCACGGTGAGCAGGGGGTAGCCCGCCTGGTGGGACCAGCTGCTGAAGATGTTGTACACCGAGGTGGGCAGCGAGAGGCCCAGCTCGTCGGCCGACTCCTGGAAGGCGGCAAACAGATCCCACTCATCGCAGGAGGTGAATTGGCTAAAAGTGAGGGAAGGATTACATTTTTAATAAGGCAACAAGTATGATTCTGCATCTATATAACCAATATCTTGCTTAAGAAACTTGAACAGTTTTTATAGGTACACTTCCCTGCTCTTATCTTTTATTACTTTTTCTCGACATGGCTGAGTACTCACTTCTTGGTCAGGTACTTGTTCAGTCCGGTGCGGAAGACCTTGTCCGTCCAGGCGTTCTTGAACATGAAGAGCACGCTGGCGGGCTTGGCGTACGAGAAGGTGTTGTACCGGTTGGAGATCTCGTTGGGCGTCTGGACGTAGTGCGTCATGGGAACGGCGGAGGCGAGGGCGTCGTTGAGCAGGGCGCTGTTGTAGTCGTTCACGTGGTAGATCTGGTAGGTGTCCCACTCGGGGAAGGCGATGTCGTTCGACTCGTACGAGAAGAGGGTGGCGAAGCCCTCCTTGAGCCACAGGTAGGTCCACCATTTCACGGAGACCAAGTCGCCAAACCACATGTGCGCGAACTCGTGGCCAATGATGTTGGCGATGTTCGTCTTCAGGTTGATCGTCGAGTTCTCCTTGTTCCACCACATGTACTGCTCGCGGTACGTGGCCAGTCCCCAGTTCTCCATGGCTCCCGCCGAGAAGTCCGGAATGCCAGCCTGATCGAGTTTGGGCAAAGCGAAGGGAACGCCGAAGTAGCCGGCCAGACTGTCCTCCACCACCAATCCCGACAAGAGGGCCCAGTCCTGCTGGTCCTGCTTTCCCTTGCGGGAGAAGACCCGCTGGCGCAGGCCATTCAGTTCGCCGGTGGTGGACTCGAAGTCGGACACGATGAAGGCCACCAAGTAGGTGGACATCTTGGGTGTCGACTGGAAAACAGTGATTCCGGCGCTTTAGGGGGAGAAATAATAAATTAAGAATTAATCTACTGATTAATAGCTAATAACAACACATTGTGAAATGCATATTTAAGGCTGCGATTGCCAACGTTGCGTATGAGTTATTAGTTACTTACACGCACCGTTGTACCAATTGCTGAATTTTAATTGTTGTAATACCAACCTGCTGGCGGCTTCATCCACGGGCATGTTGCTCACGGCCGTGTAGGAAGGATCGTGGTGGATGGTGATGTTGAAGTTGGCCCTTCGAGCGGGTTCATCGTAACAGGGGAAGGCGTGACGGGCGTTGGTGCTCTCGAATTGTGTGGTGGCCAGGAAGCTGTGGGAGAATGAGGTAATCAATTAGTGCTCAGCAGAAACGATATCACGCTTTATTTGTGCGTCACATGACCACGCACTAATTTGGATTATAAAGATAGGCCAAATTGAGATTGATAAGAGGCGAAACAATCAATTACGATCGAAATTAATAGTTCGATTGGCACTCATAATGCTTGCGACTTAGTCCCCTAAACAACTGCATTCTTAGTTTGGTTTCGATTTTTGGGTCGATTTTTTTCAGCCTTAATGTGGTTTGTTCGATATAAGCTTCCATATAAGCTTCGATATTTATCACAAATTTTTGAATGGATTTACTCACTGCTGCTGGTTGTCGTCATCCGTGTAGCTGGAGAGGTAGAAACCGCCCATGTCCGTGCGGTGGGTGCCATTGTAGTTGATGGTCAGAGTCCAGTTGGTGTCTGCGAGGAAGGACACTGAGCTGTCTGTCGGCGTCAGGATGAGGAACTCGCGCTGCAGTTCGGTGGCCACGGTGAGTGGGATTGCCGTGGCAGTGGCATTATCCCGGCTGATGATCGAGGCCACGAAGTTCGAGGTCTGGCGGTAGTGCAACTTTATTTCCGCGGAGGTTTCCAGCACGCGCAGATTGATCTTGACGGTGCCGTTGAACTGGTTGTCGCCGGTGTGGACATTGGTCCACAGCTCCACGTTGTAGGACTCCGGCTCCGTGTTGTTCGGCAGTCGGTAGTTGCCCTCGCTGTTGTCGTCCACGCGGGGAGCGATAAACAGGGCGGAGCCCTTGGTCTCCAGCTGGAAGTCGTCGTCGGAGGACAATTGGGGGATCAGGCGCGCCTGCAAGCTGCCCACTGCCAGGAGCAGCAGGATACAGGAGTTCAGCAGCCACCGTGCCATGTTGGCTGCCTTGGAATGCCACTTGGGTAATGAGAGGCCGCCGCCCGGTCGCGGCTTATTTATGGACTAGGTTCTATCTAATCCTCATCGAACGCCGATCGCCATAAAGATTGTTGCGCAATACTCGATAAAAACGCAAAAGCCCCCGTAATTCGCCAAGAGTGCACTGGGCCAAACCAAACACAGAGTATAATTAAGCAGTAAAACGTTCAGATATCGGCTGGTCTGCGGACTCTCAAGTGTTCTTAAGTCGGTGCGCTAGTTTTTCTAGCGATCAGACTTAAAAATAATAAGTACCAGCCTATAAGTACCATGTACTTACTTCTAAAATGAGACACTTATCCGATTATCAGGATAACAGTAAAGTGAAGGTGAAGTATTAATCTAATTAAAGTCACCATTAGGTCAATACATTATTACGCAGTAAATGTTGAAGCTATTGGTTCGTCTGGGGAATGTGTACCCGAAAATTGCAAGTTGTGATGGCTGTATAATCGGAAAAGCTATAAAACTCGTGAATTACGATTACAAATTTTAATTCAATGAGCAAAGCGTTCGATGTTGATAATAGATCTGGGTTTTCTATAAACAAACTCTTTCAGTAGTTTACTTAAGTTGTTAATTTGCCTTTTTATTAGGTTTTAATAAAAAGAGTTTTTCAAAAAACTTTACATTCTTAATAAACTCTAATACTTTGTCATCTATCCACTGTGATTTATCAACTAATTGCCCATAAATTCTCAATAAAACGTCCTAAGCTTTAGCGTAAAAAATAGGCATGGATCAGATGACCATTTATTGCCGATGACTTTTAAGTTTCGAGATTGCTTATCAATTCCCCACAAACTCGTCTAGGCCGAACCGATTTCACTTATCGTTTACTTGAAGAGTGGTGAAAAGCTCGCAAGTGTTTGTAGGAATTAATTTATTTGTTTTAAACTTGTACTCATATAGTCTCTCGTAGAAACAGTGGCGATCACCTATACATATCTATTATTCGTAACGCACTCCGCACCACCCGAGTGGCGTCCTTCAGGATTCCCTGTGGCCGACTGGATCCATTGGCCGCACTGAGGGAGGCGGCCAAAAGAGCGTCACTTCTGCTCGTCATCTGGGGAACCTCCGCCAGCAGCCAATCGTGGATCTGCTGCTCGAACTTGTCCTGGAAAGCTTCGCTGACTCTGACCTTCTTTCCCACCAGCGGCGAATCGGAATCGATCAGTTTGTGTCTCGTTTCCAAACCCTCCAGTTCCATGTGGCTATGAATGGCCTGTCGCAATCTCACAAACTAAGAGGAATGAAAGTCATTTAAAGAATCTGCCGCATTTTATATAAGATATTTGTAAGCTCTACTCACTTGCGGCCTCTGATGTCTGGGCACGAACTCGGCGATCTGGTTGAAGTTATCCACAAAGTTTGCCACCTGGCAGAGCAGCCTGTAGTTGCGATCGATGTACTGCCAGATGACGGGTCGGGATGCCGGGTTGGACTTGAAGGCAAAGAGATACATCATGGCCTCGGGATCGGTGAGGTTAAGGAGCCTGGACCTATCCCCCACCAGGGTTTCCAGGTAGATCAACAGGTGACGATGGCTCTGCGTGCAGCGGAGTGAGTAGACCACGTCTTCAAAGAACACCGATTCCCGATCCGCTTCCTTCATCATATCGATTATCCTGTGGAAGTCCTGGTCGCTCAGGTATCGCATTCCAAGGCACAAAGTGGTATCGAAGGCGGCAAAGTACTCGGTTTCGGGGGGCAGGTTTATCTTATTGATGAAGAATTCCTTGGCCAGATGACGTGCGTACTCTAGACACTCCGGCAGATCTGCCTGACAAGCCATTTCAAGGATTCCCTTGCTAGGATCCAAGTGAGTGTTCATGGACTCTTCCCCGTAAACACGTTTGAAAATCGGTCTGACCAGGCGGCGCACGAACTCGCTAAAAAGCTTCTGCGAGGAGGTTCCAAACAGGTTTCGGGTCAAGCACTCGATGGAATCCGCCACCTGGGTCCACGTGAGAATATCCTCCTCGAACTCCATGTACTTGAGCATCTCGAACACCACTTGCACCTGCTCGATTTCATTGTGCTCGATCAGGGGCTTCAGATCCCGGAAGAACGCAGCTCGATTCGCGGGATGAATAACCGAGTGGTTGGCCTGAAGCTGCCGGGCGATGGCCATCAAGTTATCCGTATCGTAGTGCACTTGGAAGAAGCCCGTCTGCTGTTTGTTCACTATAAGCCAATCCTTTCCCCCCAGCTGGATATTCAGATCCTCCAGAGCCACGGAAAAGTGCGTCTGCGGTGGCATGAATATATTCGCTTGGGTGTCCTCGAAAGTCGGTGATTTGGCAGTGGCAAAGTTGAGTGGGATCCACCAGAGTTCCTCCTTGAAGTGGACGGACTGCTGGCTGAAGGATATTGTGTTGTTCTCGTAGTTCCGAGTGACCGTCACAATGGGCATCCCCTCGCTGTGCGTCCACGAGAGCATTATCTCCCTGATCCGGGCAGCCCACGGCTGGTGGGCGAAGTACTCGTCCTCCAGGATCTCCGATTGCAGGGCGTCGAAGAGCTTCAGCTCGTTGGCCGTGCTGTAACGACTGGGCGAAAGAGCAATGGACCTTGACCCATGAGTTCCACTTGACCAGTTCCAGGGGTCAGTCACTACAACTTACTATTTCTCCAGGAAGCGGCTGATGCCCCGCACGAATAGCTTCTGGCGGAAGGCGTGGTGGAACATCTTGATCACGCAGGCGGCCCTCTTGTAGGAAATTAGGTCGAACACGCCCATGATGTCCTTCTCACTCTCCACGTAGGAGGACATCGGCCGCACCTCGAAGAAGCTGTTGTAAGTATAAGCACTATCGGCCTCTGCGACCATAAAAATGTCCATGAATTTCATCTCCGGGTAGAGCTATTGAATAGGGAAATATATAAGAATAGTGGAACATATTGATGATTCATGATATTACCAAATCGGTGATCACATAGCTGAAGTAGGTGGCGAATCCCTCGTTCATCCACGTGTACGTCCACCATTCGGGCGAAACCAAGTTGCCGAACCACTGGTGGGCGATCTCGTGGTTCTGGGTGATCTTGTCCCACATTGGATGCATTGAGCTCGTCGTACCGTTCTGAAACAAGTTGACGTCCTTGTAGGTGATCAGGCCCCAGTTCTCCATGGCTGCCCCGTGGTTCTTCTTCAGCGCCACGTGATCCAGTTTCGGCAGGGGATAGTTGATCCCGAAGTAATCCTCGAAGGCTGCTATAGTTCTCACTGCGTTCTTCAGGGCATTCTGGCCCTTCTCCTGGGAAGTTGGCGAGGAGTAGACACTTTGAGTGACCCCCCGATATGTCTCGGAGATGCTCTCGAAATCGGAGATGACAAATGCCACGAGGTAGGTGGAAATTGGCGGGGTTGTGTGAAACGAGGTGGTTTTCAAATCCCTGAAATCGAATGAAGAGTTATTAAGGCATCTTAGAAGCATTATTTACTTACCCGTGGGAAAGTATTTCCCTGACTGGCATATTCGATATGGCCGAATGGCTGCTGCCATGTGTTATTTTAATGCTAAAATTTGACTTGAAGCCGGGTTCATCGTAGCAGGGAAAGATTAGACGTCCACATGTCGGCTCCGATTGCGTGGCGGCTATGTACCTAACAGATTTAATTAATTGGGTTATTAATGTGGGTCTAATCAAATCGCTTATAAACAAATCTTATTCAAGGTCTTAGCTGATAGGGATTTCCTACTGTGTGAACTACAAATATTGCTGGGAGATTACAACTTGTTGCCAAGTGTTTTTTGACAACTCTGTCTGCCTATACTCGTACATCATAATTAAACAGAACCGTTTTTGCCCGTAAAATCCCAGTCCCCTTCTGAGATCATTGAACGTTGAGCGAAAACCAGTCCCAGCCTGCGGCAGCCGGAAAGATCAATCGCTTGGAGAGCCAGCTCTCACTTCCACGGAACATTCGAAACTCGACGTTATTCACTGTCCAATATCAAGGGTCATGCGAATCTGTGCGTTGCCCAATCGAATAAATCAAAACAAATCGGGGACTCAAGCCAAACACAAATACTACCGATTCACTATCTGCCGGCCACTGATAAGGGGCGACTCCGAATCGCCGACACAGTCATTCCCCTTTATGAAGAATCCCCCCATTGAGAAGTCGTTTGTTTACATCGTCACCCTGGTGACGCCGACGGATCAACCGATCCCGCCATATGCGACAAGCATATGCCATTTACTATATGCCCGCTTGATAGCGATAAAGACCGCGAGAACTGTCTACGGCAGCAGCGCAATTAAAAGCCAAGCCAAACAAATGGAATCGAAATAATAACAAAGTAAAAGTGAGAGCGTAGGCAAAGTGCACGCCGAATCCCAATCTCGGGGTTATGTAAGAGCACCTAGCTGCTAATCTGAATGAGCGCGTGCCTTTCACTGGGTAAACGGACTACTGAATTTCGGGTATATCTCATCAGATTACGATAGAAGTGGGCCTACTAAGATATCCCAAAAATAGAACCGAAAAGGAGATACAAGGTATCTATTCCACACCCGGTAACAAATACCTCCAGAAGCAGATAAAATACTCACACGGTGCGGTTGTTTTCTCCGTCATTCGCAGATGGATAATCCATGTAGTAAAGCCCCATGGGACGGGATCCCATGATCGCCGTGTAGAGAATCTCCAGGCGGTAACGCTGGCCCGCCTCGAAGGCCTGGTAATTCTCGCGCGGATGGATGACAAGGAAGGACTCCTTGGGGTGGAGCGTGTGGGTGAGGTCGTCGACAAGCTCCTCTGCTCCGTCGGTCAGCTGGTGGACGGTCACCTGGATGTCGGACAGGTTCTTGGCGTGCAGCACTATCTCGTTCGTCGAGCGCCGGATGGCGACGTCAATGGTGGCGTTTCCGCTGAAGAGCAGCGTGCCCTTGTGAATATCGCTGGATATGTGCAGCTGGTAGAAGAGCGGGTAGGTGTCGTTGGGCAGGCGCAGAGAGCGCGTCCTCTGGGGCAGGGATCCGCTGGCCACCAGGGCCAGGGTCAGCAGCAGGGCACCCAAGACCGCCGCCGCTCCAGACAACGGCGTGTTCATGGTGATACGGGGAACGCGAACCGGATCGAAAACTGTATCTCGCGCCCTGGCAACCGCAACTCGACTGAGCGACGGCGACGAGCGCACCGGCGGTTATAGCTAAAGCCTCCCAGTCCCGATAAGATAATCGGGACGGCTGATCGATGGGCACTCTCGTATAAGAGAACGCCGCACCATCTCTACGAGTATGAGTATGTGGGCAAACACTCGGATCTGTTCGGCTGGAGTGAGTTGCACACTCGAGGGAGCGGCATTGAGCAGGTCACGGTGTGGTCCTTGGCACACTGACAACACACAACACACCCCGATGCGGGCTTTCCACCCAACTCTCTCTTTTTCCCAAAACAGATAGTTCTTCACATCCCTAGGGGTATATCCATTGGAGTGTGTCGAAAGACAGCCGACACTCCACCCCGAAATAACAACATGTGCACGATCAATAACCTGTTTATCGCGCGGATACACTTGCATAAAATTTATTGTCATCAACACTACCAATCAATATCTTAACTTATCTAATATACGTAATAAAATTACTTTGTTTCAATAATGTTTCAAGTCTTAAAATTTTTATTTTCTACTCGATCATTTTGTCATAGGATTTGTAATATGATCTACAGATTAATGTCGCTTGGATACAATTTATTACCAATAACACAACCAATCAAAATCTTATCTAATATTCTTAATAAAATTACTTTGTTTCAATAATATTTCTAGTTTTGCAATGTTTATTTCCCTACTCGTTTGTTAAGTAATAGGTTCTATAAAAAAGTATGATCTATAGGTGAATGATCCATGATTCAATGCAGATGTAATAAGCAAAACCTTCTCACTGACTGTTCTTCGAACACTCAGCCCTTTTCATAATAAATTTTGATTTATTTTTTCACCGTCGTCATACGCATGTTTTCACCCAAAAGTAAAATATAGATTAGACGGTATCCGGTAGTCAGAATACCCCTGTCCCATTAGTCACTTTGTTTTCGCTGCCTCTTGACTTCGTTCGCAAAATCGAGATCGTTTATATGTCGCAATCCGAAAAACGAATGCGTCAGTTGGAACTCAACACTGCCGGAGAGAAGATTACAATGATTCCTTCGATCTCCCGAGTAGTACTTTTGCTTTGCATCCTGGGCTGTGTTTCTGCCAGCCAGGATGTTAAGAGTAAAAATTGTCAGGCAAGAGGGGAATATGTAAGTTTTCTATGCAACACTACCTGAGTTTTTACCTCATAAATCATATAAATTCCAGTGCCAGATAGACACGGATTGCTGCTCGAGAAAGTGCTTGACCTACCAGAACAAGTGTGCCCCCTTTTCCATGAACGAAATCTACGATGTGGTGAAAGAGCCAGTCAAACCCATTAAGCCCAATGATCAGGTGCAAATTGTTGGTCTACCGAATGAGTCAGAACCATCGAACGATGTTTTTGTAGTCGACTCGAAGGCAGATTTCGAATCGGCTGCTGAATGCCAGCCAGTCGGTGGACCGGTAAGAATACTTCTTAGTAATTTTAATGAACTTTCTCTACCAATGTGTATATTTTCCCAGTGCGATCGCGCTGATGAATGCTGCAATTTGCGATGTTTGACGTACATGCACAGGTGTGTCACTTAAAAAGTTCCCAACAAGGAAATGTGAGACAGCCAGCTAATTACCAAAACTCAACAACATTAAAGGCCGAACCTTATCTTTATAAATTACTTTTTTAAAGTAAACAAATAAATTAAATATTGAAACCAATAAAAGTGTTTTGTATTCCCTTTTTATACAATGTATCTAGTCACGTATGAAACTGTCTACAAGTTTGGAAAAACCATGTAAAGCTTTTGAGGGTAGACCATTATATGAAACAAATAAATATATATGCACTCTACCAGCGAGCTAAAAAAATGATAACGCCAATGCGGGATTGTGGTGGAAAAATATACTTAACATTTAAATAAACTGATAACTTTATATTTTTCTGTGGGCATTATCAGAATATTTAAGCTGGGATGTCAAGGAAAAGCGTTTCTGTAAAGCCCGCGGTGAATCATTATATCTAAGCTAAATAAAATTTTAATTGTGAAATCGAAGGGCTACAACAATTGAAAACACCCAGCAATGACCTTAACCTATTAAAATAAATGATAAATATTATCTAAAGCTCAACTTCGCGGCCCTTAAACATTGATTGCTCAACATAAAGAATATCGTGCCACCTAAATATCTTCTATATCTCAGCCGGTATCGTATCTGATGCGTTGACATTAAATATTGACAGCGACAATTCCCAATTATCTCGAGCGTCTTGACACAAATGTAACCGAACTTCTTGACTTGGGCAAACACAGAGCCATGTCCAACAAGCCAATAGCATTGCAATTAATTAATGCCGCTGGGTCAGCGGGCCAATAAGTGTGGGGTTTAAAAGCCAATGCGACCGTTTTTGGTGCTTAGTTAGAAACCGATTTGAAGTCACAATGTTGGCAATTCTATTCGTTCTCCTAGTCTTTGCTGTAAGCCATTTGCGACTTGCATATTTTCAGGCGGATCTTTAGAAAGCCACTATCTTTCTTTACAGTCCCAAATTCGAGCGGTGCCAGTTGGAAGGGACTCTTCCCCTAAGGACGCCAAATTACCAATTCTTTCAAAGCCTCCGATGCAGCAGCAGCTGAATCCTCTAAACCAGGACGAGATTACCATGTTCACCAACATGTTCCTCAGCTTGTTCCGCGGCATAGGCGACTATCGAAATATGGTGGCCGCCGATACTGTCCAAAGTGTTTGGCAAAGTCCGCCGGTTGTTGACTTTAGCCACCGGCTCTTTGCCACCTAGAAAAGTAGCTATTCGATACGAAGCTGTTTTTGCCAAACAAACTGTAATTACATTGCTGATAAAAGTAATCTGTTTTTTATTTTGACGAAGCAGAGGTATATAAAAGTTTTGCAAGCAACACAGTGGTTAGTTAAAGATACACCATGAAGCTTTGGGGAGCACTGACCATTTTAATCCGGATGTTTTTGGGAATGGCCATCGCCTTACCCACTTTTCACCCCGGCTTCAGACACATACCCTATGGCATGGATGAGTTTTGGCCCCTTATTGGGGGAAAGCACACCGACGTGATGCCACTGTCCAAAAACCTCACGCAAGTATTGAAAAAAGTTGATTTGATCCGTATTATTTTTGGCACATTTCGTATTTTCCTCGCCAGATACAACGCCTCTACTGGGCCGACAAATGTATGGAGTTCAGGCATAAGTGCAAAATGGCAGAACACTGCTGCAGCCAAAGATGCCTGAAACGTATTCAACGCTGCATAACTTAAGTAATACAAATAATAAGCAACTCTCTTATACTTTATTTATAAATAAATGTAAATTGAAAGTTGAAAATATAGTTGGGAATATAAATTTGAATTTAATGAAGTGAGACCTTTTAGGCTTTAACTATTCATCCCAAAAATTATTCAATACCTTGTCGAAATATACAAATATTTACTTTTTAAGAGTTCGTATGCATTGAACAGATTTAATTAGCTCTTCGTCTGTATATTCGCTTGTTTTAGTTTCAACCTATTTTCACATATTAGTTACGATCCATTAGCTGACGGTTTCAGTCGGATCTTAACTTTGCCACTAGGAGAATGATGATCGCTCGACTGGTGCTTTTGCTGGTTGTCGTGGCATTTGTGGCTGCACAGTCGGATTCTAACCAAACAGTGGTTTGTCAGCCAAGCGGTGGCTATGTAAGTTTTTACTAATAATTTTAAATCAGAAACTTTTTGACTTCGCTGATGTTTTTTAAATCGCAGTGTCTTGGGCCATCGGACTGCTGCTCGAGAAGATGCATTCGAGTGGCCGCAGAATGTCGATAAGTCGGTGTACCAGAAAATTATATATACAATCAATCTATTCCCTATAACTATTTTCAAACCTGTATTTTTTAGGAATTAAATGCTGCCTTGAAGGTATCTTAAAATATATACACGACAGGGAAAATATATACACCACAGGGAAAATCCTAACCTCATCTAACGATCACTGTTACTTTTTCGGAGATACCAAAAACGAAGTAAGATGTAACTTGACCAAATTGTAACTTGCAATGGAGGGACACATAGTTTTTGACAGCAGTCACCATATTTAATCAATTGATCATACTGCTTTCATTGGACTGTGTTGAACTTACAGAAAGAGATTGTATCGCGATTGTGGTGAAGCCGAAAAATCAATATGTACGATATTTATCCCAAGTTCCTTCCCCTTCATCTGTTTAGTCATCCACTCGGCTGGCAATAACAAACCGTAGCTGTATCAATTGACAGAGTGAAGTGAAGTGTTCGGCTGCTCACAATCAACTTACAGCAGCTAGTGTTTGTCGGCGTTTACCAGCAAACAATATTTCCGCCCACACGGAGGCAGGCATTTGAGTACTGAGCAGACAATGCGACAAAGCGGCATCAATGAGGATTTTTCCACTCATAGACATTTGCATTGACGTCTCTGCGGGAAGGGGGAACCCCCCGCCTTTGTGCGAGTGTCTCCTCGGTGGTGATCCTTTCCCCTTTTCAGTGCACACAAAGCGCACACAATGAGTTTAGACAGCGATTGTTTGGCTTTCTTGGCGTGTGTTAGCCGCTTCCTTTGTTGTTATCACGCCCCGACTTCTCGGTATCCGAGTGCTGCAGTTGGGGCAACAATGGCCGAAAAGACCCATTAAAATATGGCCAACTGACTCTAGAGGCTTTTATGGCTGCCCCGAAAGTATGCCACATAAAACTGCAGCATAGGTGACCCTTTTCACGCGTTTTTAAACGCCCATTAACCGCTATCGTACATTTTATGGGCTGCCCGCTCCAAGAATTGATTATTTTTCCCTACATATTATCTAGTTTGTGGGCGCACGTGCCGAAGCCCCTGGGATTTACATGGAATTCGCATTCAGAGGTTAATGCTTGTGGCTGCATCAGGTATTCCGGCTGCTCCCTGAATTTCTTCTGGCACTCTGCATTCGACATTCTTCGATTTGTTTTGCCAGCACGCGGTTATTATTTGGCACTTACTGGCACCGCCGTCTGGCTGTTCCTCCCTCGCAGAGGAAGACATCAAAACTGCGGAAGCGGAAGATATTCGGGGCGTGCAGCCCCAACACCCCTTCTCCGGCGATAAGAGACGGCAGCTTGATGAAGTTTCGGCGGCAATGGCTGGCAGGAAATCACTTTCGTTCCCCCGAGAAGAAAATCGATTGCCTCTGGCCATCAAAATCAGCATTGGCATCGGCATCAGTGGCCCCATATGCAGATTCGCTGGCCAAAAAGTATGCAGCGCAGATGAAAGGCAGCCAATTTGTCATCTGACTTTTCATTACATCCGTCCGTGTGTCTGCTCGCCGACTTTAAGCCCGGCTCAACTTTAATGGCTTATGCCACGGGATGGCGTAATGTATGCAGGTGTGCTAAACTTTTACATTGCACGTGTCGGCAGACACTTAAATGTCGAATGAATAATTCCGGCTGCCTCCGCCAGTCGGCGAACTTTTATTGCTCTTGGCACACGAGCGAGTGGCTGGCACTGAGTGCTAAGAAAAACACAAGGAACAGGTGCTGCAGGCTTGCCAAATAACTTCCAGCAATTCCCATTCCGCCGGCTGCTTAATTGGAGTTCACGGCGAACTGAATGATGCCCAAATCCGCTTCACCGGAAGTTCTTTGTGTGGAGTGGAACGGAGTGCATTGCACTGCTTCATCGGGAACGTGGCGTATACGTGATGTAAGCAGTGGCCAACCGACTGACTAGTCAAACAGTCGGGGTGACTTATCAGTAACGACCTTACCTGTAGGCCTTCGCCCATAAATACCTGCTCACTCGGAGTGGAGGGTTTATCAAAACGAAATATGAAATATTCAAAAGTTTGCCCTAAAAGTCGCTAAGTACATGCCCTTAAAAGGTAAGCATAAAAATTTGCTATTGGATTTAAGTAAGTGTATGCTTTAAAATCAAAAATTCCTGAATGACGTAAAATGTTGTAAATTATTCAATAGATTTGAATAGTAAAGCAAATATGTTACGCTTATATTTACAGATATACCCTTCTTCTTGCGCAAACGACTCCACCCAGTTGCTTGACTTTCTCACTTTAGGGAAATATTTACAGCTTGAAAAGGATTTCTTTTTGCGGCCATCACATATGTTTATATTTGCATTTCTGGCTGAGGCACAAAAACAGGGATTTCCAGCGCGACGGTGTGTGTTTGTGTGTGTGTTTGCGTTCGTGTGGCTTGGCAGGGGCCATGAAATTGATTTTAAATGCGGCTCTGTGTCAGAGGACAGGGCAAACAGTCGGGAGCGATGATGATGATGATACCCGCGCCGATGTCGTTGTCCTCGGATGAAACCGCACGTATGACAAGTCGTTAGTGCCGACTTAACTGGCAAAAGGAAAAGCCACACGAGCACCAGCATCAGCAGCAGCAGTAGAAACAGCAGAAGCAGCGGCAAATCAAAGCGAGTGTCCATCAGCATTACGAGACTCTCGGCAGAGAGTCCGCAGAGCGCAGAGCGCGGGGTGGGCGGGGAAAATGGAAAAGCGGAAAAGTGTCAACGCTTGTCAGGGCGGCCATGACCAGGCGGCAGCCAGCAGAGCCTGCTTGTGAGCAGCGGGCAAAACTCATTATATTTCTGCCTGCCGCTCCGCTCCGCTTTCTCTTTTTTTGCACTCGTGTTGTTTTCCAATTGAAAGCGCCGGCCCTTTAATGTTTGTTTCAGTTTCAGTTTCAGTCTCAGTTTTTTTTTTAATCGCACACGCATATTTAAATAAGTGCAGAAGGCGGAGAGTGCTGCTGTCAGGCGGTCGCTTTGATGTGTCAAGCGTTCAATATGGAGGCGGGCGGAAACGGACCTGGGACCCATAAACTCGGCACGAAATTAATAACGGAGGATGCGAAATTTGCATTCAAAGGCGGACACAGACATTGTAATCGGAGCACGAGGACCTGACCCCCGGCTTTAAGGCGACCTCTGCGCGGCTTTAACTTCCCGGACAGCACACCCCCTGGCCGAATTTGCATTTATCGACTGGAGGTGCGGAGGTAAACTCTCATTAAAATGTAATTGCCCATTAAAAGTGAGGACAGGCTCCGGCTCCGGCTCCTTGACTCCCTGATTTGTCCACTTTGCTGTTTTTCGAGTATCGGGTTTTTGTCCGGCGCCGCTTTGTTTCGAGTTGTTGCGTTAATTGAATCGACAAAATGACAAGCAAAACGATTCCTTTTGTATGCCCACGGGCAGCTGGCGATGGCGATGGCCACTTGGGCACTCGTTACGCATACGCTCCGTGGGCCACACAAAACATGCCCCGTGGCAGTGACCGCACATCGGAACAGAGCAGCCACTCAGTGGCGCACATGGAGAGAAAATCCCCTGAAAATGGCCAGCAATTCCGGTTGGCTTCCTGCTGAAAATCACACACAATGCAACGGATGTAAATAAAATGAAAAGAGGATATGTTCTAGCTTACATTTAGGAAAGCTAATGGAACGTTACAGAAGTTAAGTTAAATCTCGCGCACATTTAATATTTTAATAATTTAAATGTAATTACTATATTATCTTTTTATTGAACACATTTTTCTGTGTAGCCCCACACATGCTGTTCGCCGGACTGACCAATTGTGTCCATTTAAATCATTATCATCAGCATTATCATTATCATCAGAAGTTTATTCCTAGTTGTCGACTTTTTTTTGCTTTTTAGTTCTGGTTTTTGCCTTTTGGGAGTCGGTCGGTAAGGCTTGACCCCGCAAGCAACACAAAACAGAAAACACAAGTTTCGTTTTAGTAGTAGTTTCATTTTGCCATTTCCATTTCGCTTCGACGGTCTGATTCGATGTTTGCCTGCTTGACAGTTCGTTTGGCCCACTTTCGGTTGTTAATTGTCCGGAGAATGGAAACAGAAAGCTGGGAAAAGTTTCATTGAAGAATTGATATGCTAAACGGGAAAGCGCTCTGCAAACTCGGGCGAATTCCTCTTTAAGGTGCAGCCAAAACTTTCTAATTTCCCCCTGGCCTTAAATAATTTAGGAAACCACTTCTGCTGAGATGCAAACCCAGCTCTCTCTATTGACACTCGGGGTATAAATATTTAAACCTAATTGCAGCCGCAGAGCGCTTAAATATTTTTTCTTTGTTGTTCGAGGCCGGAACTCGATGTGGTGTAAAAGGATTTCCTTGTACAAAACATAAGCCTAGCCATTGCAAATTAAGCATGCACACACATTCACAGAGAGCCACAAAAGCCAAGTTAAGTCCGTTGGAAAACCATTGCGCATACGCAATGTGGGCTCTGTGTGCCGGAGGACGAGCTGCTGACTGTTTTAATGAAATTATCTGTTAGACATTGGACCGAAAGCCCTGCTGTTTTGAGTTATTAATTCAATTTTTTCCCAGCAGCAACTCGATTTCGGGGGCCAATTTTGTGGCCTCGGTAAACAAATTTACAGCCACAATTGCAGCAGACAAAGTTGGGGAAAAAAGTTGGCCTTTCTCCTTAGCTGCAATCCACTGCGAGCACCTATTGCAGGTGCAACTTTAACTCCCGGTTGCCACGCAACGGCAGCCAATTAACTCCAAATCCCGGACAGAAGGCAACCCAGCTGAAGTCCTGGCCGCGTGTGTGCTCTCGGCTGGCTGCCAGTTCTAATTACCCGTCTGACTCGTCTGATTTCCAAGAGATTTTTTAATTAACCGAGCTGCAAACCGCTGCCAAAGGTGTGCAAACACACGGAGCGAGGACACAGCTCAATGGCACCCGCACGCTGCGAGTGACACTTGCCCAAATTTAATCCCAGCCTTGCTGGAAAATATTCAACGGGGATTACAAAAGCTCAAGCCAGGGTCTTTACTGCACCTGAAGTGTTTTCAGCATCTACTTTAGCAAAAACTTCGATACACAACGCAATCACAAGAGCTGTGTGAACGTTGAAAAGCCAATAGCCTTTAAATTATACAGTTAGTTGAGTTTTGGGGTAATTATATATTTGGCGAGGAGAAATAACATTTTGGTCAACAATTTTCAGGGGCCTAACGAGAGTCCGCTAAACATTCCACTCGCATTTGAATGCAACCACAACCGCACTAAGCACTGCGAAAATGCGAAACGTTCGCATTCACGGACGAACATGTGCGGAATTCAAATTGATGGACACCATTAGAGGCCAAATAATTTGAGGACCGTTGTTTCGCGGTTGGCCATTTTCGAAGTGATTATCATAATCAACCATAAATGCAAGTAATTCAGAGCGAGTGACCTTTCGCTCTGCACACTTTCCGCTGCAGATTTAAATCTATTTCATTTTTCCGCTTTCGAAAGCGACATCATTAATCACGCGTCGGATGGACGTTCGTTCTTTGTTGGCCAGAGTTATCTGTCAAAAACTTTAATTATATTTCCATCATGACAAGGACGAGGCGGAGGATGGGTAGAATGTGACTGCTTTAGGCTGACAAGTTGGCCAACAGCAAAATTCAAGTACGTGCCTCAGGCGCCAATGAGCAGGGGGAAAAAATAAAAAAGAATCTAACGAAAAAACTCGCAACCCAATAAATGTATTTGCTCTGATTTGGCTCGGCTCTTCGGCTGCCTGGTCAACTGAAATATTATACTGGCTTTCTGCATTGACAGGCCCAACCAGTTGCTGCACTCCAATAAAACCAAATGGATAGCCATTCAATTTGGATTGTCAGTGCCCGGCGAGCACCTATGCTCTTGGGCGCTCCATTGTTATTTTTATTTCAGCAAATTGAAAGCACTTCGCTTAATCCCGACGCCTCGAAAGGCTGGTGGTTGGAAACCAAACCAATCACCACTGAACATCAATTAAAAAGGGAAAAAATAATAGCTTGGAAAACACAAAGCGTAACGGGAGCAACCAATCTGCCGGGATTCGCTCCAGGCAGTCCGTTGCCCTTCGCAGGGAAAAGTTCCTCGAACTGAGCCAATTCGCAGGAAAATGTTCCTGCACTGAGCGCCATTGTATAGAAAAATCCCTTTTATTCAAACGATTGAAGCTATTTTTGCACTCAGAGCAGACTTTTCATAATAATTTCACAATTTGTTTCGAGGCTTATTTTAACTTTATGTAAACTCCCAGTAACTTTTGCTAGACCTATTTATTTCCCGGTGCACCCAGTAATACATGTTTAAACCGGACTGCTAAGTGAGCTCGATTTCTAGGTATCAATAAAACTCAATTTAATCGGGATAAAGTCTGCAGCGAAGAGGCAAGCTGGCATTGATTGCATTTTAAGTTGTCGGGCGTGTTTATCGCGGAAATCGCGTTCGGCTAACGAGCCTAACGAAGTTTTCAATGTAATTCAATTGCTGGGGAAAACAATGGCGATGCCATCATCGCCATAATTGGCCCGTCAATCTCGTGAGCTTCATTAGCCGTAACGGCTTAATGCGCGCCAACCGGGCGTATGCGTAATTTTTGACACTGCCTATGGAAGAGGCGACAAACAGGGCAATTCAATTAGCAGAGCGAGCGGCAAACGATGGCCAAAAGTCATGGCACCAAGCCAAGCCAAGACATCTCCCTGTGGCCGGTGTCCGATTTTCGATTGTCGACGTTCGATGGTCAGGTTCATGGTCAGAAAGGCAGGTGAAACGGGACGAGAAGGCGAGAGGGCTAAGAGCAGCAGCAGGCACGTTGATTGAATTGCCAAGTCTGTTCGATGCGCGACAAATTCAATTGGTTGGCACTCGCACACGGCCGTCGGCAGGATCTAGCAACAGGCTGCAGGCATTTGGGAGGACCTTCTATTCGGCGACACCAGCTCCAGCGGCGAAGGATGTTGCAGCAGGCAGGTGGAGTGTGCCGGTTAATTGCTTTGGAAATTGCATGTGACGAAACATATGGGTTATGCAGGGAGGATGTGGCCGTGACACGGCGCTATCTGCCTGGCTAATTGGATTACGGATAAGCCAATTTGAGCATGGTCTCGATCCTGCGACACCAGCGGATCCAAGCAAACATCATGGGATTTTCCAGCCATCTTCATAACTCTGCAGATATTTCGGAGTAGGTCGAACAAGGATATTTAAAAATAAAATTATATCCAAATTAAGTCCCAATTATAATACATAATTTGTAATTGATAAGTATGTTTGTTCGTTCTTATGAATTTCTAATTTTAACTCCAACCAACCCACATGGCAAATTATCCAATTAGTAACCAATATCGAATTTCTTGGCATGCAAATAGGAAAACCATTACTAAATACATTTCTCTGCTCAACAACTGTGGTGTAAATTTGAATTCATCTTAATTTCACAGAATGCTAAAAGCTTCCGGACTTCCTATAAACAATATTGGTATTGGTCTGTTGATTCTAAGCTTAGAATAATTTCCATTCATGCTTTTATTTTATTCATAAATGTTTTTTTTCATTTTGCAAACCAAAAAAGTTGTAGATCCTAGCATTAAAATGATTGTACATTTAACTTAAATCGAATTCATAAATCCGTGAAAGAAAAATTCAATCTAATTCTTGCCATATATTGCAGGATTTTAATCCTGCTTCCGGAGAGATCCGAGAATGTATATTCCTGGGCGCTTCCATATATCATCTGGCCAAGTTTCATTCATTCAGTCAGCAGTGGCAACGACAATAGCCCAATGTTTGTTTATGCCTCGTTAAACTTTTCAGCCACACGCATAAAACATAAAGCGCTTTGCCGAGTCAGATCAATGCCTTATGTGCATAGTGGTGTTTGGTGGGTGGTTCGTGGTGGGTGGAGATGGATATGGGTGGTTATGGCTGAAACGGTGGATGGGCTTACACTGAAATTGAATTATGGAACACACACAGCATGCACACATAAGGGCCAACACACACACACACACACACAGCCGTGACATATCGAGCGAGACGCCATGGAATACAATATCTGACTCCGAAGTCGAAAGAACTGCATGGCGCGATTTCGATGGCTTCGTCGTTTTAGACGGTAGCTATCGGTTCTCCCCCCCCTTCCCCTTGAAAGCCCCTTTCCCCCTCGGAATGAGCCTCCCTGTAGACAGCCCCCTCCACACATTCATCCATCGAATGCAAAACGGCAGCCTCACAAGCCGGGGCCAGCCACATTGTTCGACTCTTTCATTTTCAGCTTCACATTTCTCTATCTGCCCCCCGCCACGCCCCCCCTGGGCCACCTCCGCCTCTATCTGGGTTGTTGTTATTGTAAATTATGGCCGCAGCCGCAGAAAAATAACAGCAAATAAAAAAACCCAAGCGGAGACTAGGGAAATAGGAAGAGAAATGTGTTTGAACAGGGAAAAAATACAAAGTACCTCAAGCTTTTCATCCAGAGCTTGGTTTTAAGTCCAAGTTTTTAATAATTTGTATCTCGTCTAAATACCAAAGGAAATTAAATTTTATATAAAAGAAAAAGTCCCCAAGGAGAGTACTAAATTCATAGTATAAAATACTCTGGATACTATTGAAAATGCATACGCTAAAAAATATGAGCTAATTCCTGAATCTGAATTCAATTGTTTTCAGTGTAATAGAGAGATGCGGAAGGTGGTCGGAGGGTCGAGAGGGGAAACGGGTCCAACAACCTGTGTAGGAATCCTGGGCCTGGCATCCATCGGCTTATTGTTTCTGTTTCATTCCATTTTATTGTCGTATGTCATACAATGGCGTAACATTTACATTTCCCATTAAACTTTCCGCTATCAGTTGTCGCTGATGCTGTTTTTGTTGCCGCTCCCGTAACGCTGAATGTTGTGCAATAAATTTAAAACGCTCATACACGAAAAAAAGTGACTGCCCGGGCGATTCGCAAAAGTCCCGCAGCATTCCTCCGCTGAAAAGTAAGCAGCTCGCTGAGGAGAAACGGCCAACATAAACGCTAAGCACTCGAAACAATTTTTTGGTCGACAAAAGGTTTGAGAAATGGAATATTGATTTAAACGCCAGAAACACAGGTGAGTGAAGCAGAAGGGGCTGAAAGGTGGGAGGGGGAGGGGTCCGGGGCATTCTGAGATGCAACAATTTGTCATTGAAATGCAAGCGCAGCAAAAAACTAACCGAAAAATAGTTAAACAGCTGCCGACGACACAGGAAGAAAAATAAGGACGAAGGACGAAGGACGAAGAACGACGACACGAAGCCTGCGACACGAAGTGCGAATATCGTATGCGGGATTCGCACGACCAACAGTTGCTCCGCCTTGGCCGTGTGGCAGTGGGGTTCTGGCCGTGTTGCTCCCGCTTTTGGCCTCCATAATAGACACAGTCAGCCGCCGCAGTGTCACAGTCCACGCTCGTCCTTTGGACTGCCAAGTCGCGTTTTCAGTCGCTCGCTGGCCCCTCGCAAGTCGCTAGCAAATCCGGTGGCAATTCGCGGTTTCGAGTGAACAACTGTTGTTGGGAAGTGTTCAATATTCAATTCAATAATCCGAACCTGTTCAATAACCAGATATTATCAGTTGAAGTTCTTACTTAATGCTGCTGCTCGTGGTCAACTGTTGCTGCAGCTAGCTGCCGAGGAAATCCAGTGCATGTAAGTCGATTGCAATTGAGATTTATTGTCCGGAGGACACGCCACAAACACACACACCCACACACACACACAGTACGACACACAGGCGGGTGACAGCAGACACTCGGGCGCACACCTGCCGAGATTGCGCCATCAATCTTGGCTATCAATTAGATCAATCATACGCCTCGTGCGCCCTGCGGCCAGGTGAAGTGCCGTATCGATTGGGAGTATGTGGAATATTGATTGGCGAAAATAAACACTCACCTGCCTACCCAGACAGTTGGTCCGCGTGGAGGCAAATACACACAATGGGCTAAAAATAATTGCCAACCACCGACCATCGACCACCGACCAGCTGACTGGCAGAGAAGCACAGAGCCAGAGAACCCCTTCCAATCGGGCTTAAAGCCCCGGGATTAGGGCCTGCAAACGAACTGGAAAATCATCCTGTCCTGGCGAACAACTAAACCCACTTACAGATCAAGGCCATCGGACATGGAGACTTCCAACGAAATTTGGTTGCCTGACCAGCCAGTCGTTATTTAATCCTATGTGCGGTTGAATTCTAGGAAACCATGCCCCACTTTCTAAAGTTCCTTCACCTTTCCTACAGAAGAAATAGGAAGGCTTCCGGTTCAATTATTCAGACGGCAATCATTTCACAATTGCTTTTGCAAAATGGAAACAAAGGGAAAGCACTCTTAAGCTCCATTATGCAATCAATGCAATTTTTTGAATTTCTCAATTTGAGTGAAGCTCAATAAGTTCATTTGATGGTTGAGCTTCACTTCTAAATGTTATATCCTTTTACCGAATTTAATACCTTAGGTAAAAGAGCTCCTGGTAAAATGTCCAGCAATATGCTTTTAGAAAACAAAGTGGTGTTTGTTTCGTAAAATGTTTAGCCACTCGTGGGAAACCCTCACAAAGTCACACAAGAACCTAGTTAAAAATTGCAACGAATTTATTCAATATGTGGTGCAGAAAATGTTACCCAAAGCCGAACTAAAAACTTTCCACCAACTAACGGAGGAGCAGGATGTCGGAGTGCCCCTCCCACCTGTGGGCCATCATGGGCATGCAGCTGCCAATAAGCCCCGCTCTCGCCAGACTTCCGATTCGGCCACTCGGTGTCCAGCTGCGTCCACGCTTAAGCCAACTTAGAACGGCCGGCTGTGTGGCGGACATGTGCCTGACACTCGTCAATGTCAGCTGGATATGGGATGCCATCGGACGGGGGGGCGGCTGTGTGACGCCCCCTTTTTCCGAGTAAGCCCCATGAAATCAAAAGCGAAAATCAAGACGCAACTGTAACTGATTGCTGTGCATAGCTGGAATTTGCTTTAAAGGCACGCCGGGAAAGCGGGAAAATGAACAGGGGAAAATCAATGTCCCCTCCGGCGGCATTCGGAGGCGGCGTTTAATGGGCGGTGGGCGTGTCAGCTGCTCCACCCCACACACACTTAAATTACAACTTCACACACTTGTAACGAATAATAAAAGCGCAAAAAAAAGAGAAGAGTGCAAGGAAAAAATCAAAAAGCGACGAGGCCAAGTCCCCCTAACATTTTCCTTTTAGCGGGCGGACCTCGTCATCGCCATCGTCATCATTTCGGGAGCAACGTTTGCACACTCAGAGAAAATTATATTACTTTTCCTAAAACAAAAAATAATTATAGGAAAAGCTAGTTCATGGCTTTCGCATCAGTCGGCTTTTAATTGTAGGTTTTTAAATTTTTGTATTCAGCCAGTTGGGTTCGATACTCGTATTGATTGCATAAATCTATAAATCCATAAAATCATTGTTTCCTGTGCAGTATTACGCTTAAGGAAATTTCTGTTCTCCGCGTGCTTCTGTTTCTGCTTCCGTTTCTTTTTGTTTGTGCTGTTTCTGGGCAGCGCCTACATTTCTGTGCGAGCAGCGGGCGGCGGTGCTTTAGAGTCCCCAGCGGCCTGATTAAATTCCTTTCCCCCAACGGACCGCCAACCGCCATCCGCCAGCCGCCGACCGACCACTGAGCCCGAGCAACACTCTCGCCCAGACAGGACACGAAACCCAGGACACAGACCGCCAGGATAAGGCGCTGCATGCGTTTAGTGAGACGCGCAAATGATGAAATAAATGAAACTAATCCAAGAGAAAGCCCAAATGGCAAAATATTTACATTGCCAACCGCACTGGCCAAAGCACTGTGGTTCAGGACTTGCAAAAAAAATTCCACCCAGCAACGCTCCTTTTTCCTGCAGAATATTACAAAATCTTTCTGTTTTTCACTTGAATATAAATTAGTTGATAATTTGTTATTGAACAACAAGTATTTCTTTGCCATTTTTTATTTAAAATAAATGTTTGATAACTTGTTAAAACAGAACCTTTCTACTAAGTATTATTATTTCTTAAATTAGTGATCCAAATGCCTTTCAATCAGACCAATGTGCGGAGTTTCGGCTGAAGTCCTCGCTGGTCTTTGCCACTTTTTTTATCCAGCCACCCGACGGTGTGATAAACATCTTTGCCAAGTAAGCAACAATTTTTATGCCCCAAATTGGGTTCCTTTCGGCCCTGTGCCGCCCTTTTCGACGGACAGGACCTGGATGGCGAGCGGCTGTGGTGTCGAATTCGGTGGCGGTGGTGCTGTTGGGGAGTGGTGTAATGGTTGCGGCGGTGGTGCGGCGATGTCGATGGTTGATTGGATGACGAGGCGGCTCAGCGCGTGCAGGCAAATATTTTTAATGATTTTCTCTTGGGCAGCCAAAGGCTTCAGAGGCTTCGGTTCGGTTCAGTTTGGTTCGATCTGGGGGAGTTGAGTTCAGTTTTGGTCTGTGTCTGAGTTTCGTTTTACGCCCCAGTTAGTGCAAAACTAATTATACTTAGGACGCAGGACGAAGGTAAAAGATGGCTTGCCTACCAAGGTCAATCATTTTTAGCCCAGCTTTGTGTTTCCCTTTAATATTAAAAATAATCTTTAGTTTTTTATGATTGGAAAGAGTGAAGACATAAATATGAGAAGAGGGTTCGCTGTTACGATTATCAATATTCCCTGTTTAATTAAAAGTACCAAATTCATAACTATAAAAGCCTGTCTGTTTAATAACGTTATAAAATTTACAAATTGAATGGTATTACAATCCTATTAAACTCTGAAACAATTCGATGAATAAATAATGATGAAAATTAAGCACCTCGCGTTGGCAAATGTTTATTTAATGAGTGAGTTTCAAATAACCAAAAATGTACTACATAAGCTTGCCAGCTAATTCCCTAATTTGCCATTTCCCAACACGCTCCTCTCGATTTCGAATGCCCTTTTGATGAGTGAGCTGCCAGCGATGTTCAACATATTAAATACTTGTATGCGCGTGTTGCCACCTGTGAATTCTTATCACGTGCACTCACATGTGACTGAGCTCCAGTCTGTTATCTGTCAATGTTTGTTGCTCTGCTGATGTTTCAGTTGATGTTTCTGTTTCTGTTGCTGTTTCTATGCTTTTTCGGAGCCGCTAATGCAAAATTATGGGCTTCTGCTCAAACACGCTCTTGCGTTTCCGTTTCCGGCGACGCCATTGCTCTTTGTGCTGCCAGAGTTGTTGGTAATTCACATGAATGTTTTGCTGTCGGTCCTTGACTAAAAGTGGGCGTAACCCTTCGTCCTGAAGCCCCACGTTTCAGTTAGCCAGTTAGATGGACAGATGAATGGATGGATTTTTTCGCGCACGCATAGTGTTACATTCGAATTTTTCGGATAGACATTTCAGATAAAGCCCCCATTGCCACGCCCCCTTCAGACTAATGGAGTCTGCTTTGGGGCGAAACTAATTAACTTGCAGGTCCGAAAAACTAACTTTAATTTAAAGAATGCGCAACGAAATAGCAAAATGAGTTTTGAACCTATTTAGTATATGTTCTCAATAAAGTAAATATTGTGCTTCAACACCTTCTATACTCGAAGGCGAAAAGTCGTCAAAACGCCCAATCTCAGCTGGTGTACCACAAGGCAGTGTACTAGGCCCGACACTTTACTCACTGTATACGTCAGACATGCCAGATTCCTGGGAATGTACCGAAGTTGACGATGATGATATACTCATCGCAACATACGCCGACGACACAGCGGTTATGGTTAGGAGTCCAAGTATAGACATTGCAACCTTGGGCTTGCAGGAGTACGTAACTCGTTTTGAAAAATGGACAACTGAGTGGAACATAGGCATAAACTGCAACAAATGTGCTTGTGTCACATTTTCCACAAGGCCAAAGAACTGCCCAGGCATTTCAATGCTCGGTTCTGTACTTCATCACGAGCACTACTACAAATATCTTGGTGTGATTTTGGATAGAGGGCTCACTTTCCAGAGGCACACCACAATGATCAAGCAGGCAGTGCTCTCAAAGGCAGCAAACATGTCCTGGCTACTTGCGTCAAATAACAAGCTCTCCTTGTCGAACAAAGTTCGCATATACAAATCGATTCTCAGTCCAATCTGGAAATATGGATTACAAATATATGGCATAGCGTCTAAGTCGAACCTAAATAAAATCCGAATAGCCCAAAGCAAGATAGTGAGATCGATTTGCAATGCCCCCTGGTACATGAGAACGAGAGATATCGAAAGAGATCTCAAAATCCCTAAGATTGGCGATGTTTGTCGCTCACATGCTGAAAGCTACTTCAGACGCCTTGGCTCTCATCCTAACTCCCTGGCGAAGAGGCTAATTAGGAGACCAAGAAGAAGAAGACTTAAAAGGTTCCACCCACATGACCTTCCATTAAGACACATTTAACACACTTGAAGACTGATATAATTAAACTACACACGAATAGATCTAATGTATAATCTGTATACCAACCCTTTGTTATCCCCTATAGTTACAACCTGCTCAAGCTGCCACATAGGTAGCAGTATACCCGTTAATTAATAAATTTACACTTTTTACTTTTTACTAAAAAAAAAAAAAAAAAAAAAAAAAACACCTTCTATACTCATAGAAATATTTTAAAAATAAATGATTTTAAAAC